GGGGTAAGGAGAAGGAGCTTCATGGCTCCTGCAAAGGCTACTCAAAAAAGAAGCCTATCGCGAGGCCTCAAGGTGGTGAGGAGCCTCAGGGAGGTGCTGCAAGCTCACCACCTCCAACCTCGCGTCGCGGCCGCGCGATTAGAACTCCGTCTCGATTTCTATAGCTGTATATATATATTAAAGCCTATTGATCTCACCACCAAAATATATCGTGATAATATCTATTTGGTGTGGCTCTATAGCCTCGTTTTTAAGGTAGTTTTGGTGAGGCCGCGCGCGCACTTTGTGGTGGGGCTAGTTAATTAGGCCGAATAAAAACAACAAGGCAATATTTGTAGTAAGCAGTCAGTTTAGAAGTCATTGCAATAGACGAAGTATTTGTATAAAGAAGCCCAAATTCTAAAAGTGTACATGTTCTATTATCTCGACGTACTCTACAACGCTTGAAATTACTTCACTGCTTTACATATACTACGTATAATTATTGTGATTAAGCTTGATTTCACTATGCAATTCATCAACCACTTTATCGCTGTTGCTGTAACACTCGCTATGCTCAGCCACGCTGCTCCTGCAACCTCAAACAAAGTCAATCACCTTGAGGCACGTCAATGTATTAGACTTGGTGGTAAGAACATGTCACGTGGACAAGTAGGTCGGGGCGCTAACAGATTATAGGAGATTGTGGAAAGTTGCGAGTAGGTGGAGGCGCTCCTACTTGCTGCCCTGGCACTAGGTGCGACTCTAGCCGTACCTGCGTAGGCACCGTAAATAACCATAACTCCCCTACGCCAAATAACGATGGGTATACCCGCGTTGATCAATATATGAGTCCACCCTTATTCCAGGTCTTTTGATTTAAGTAGTATATGGATTGGTTCAGGTGAAACTGATAGGGATAAATAGTAAGTGAAAGGGAGTAGGTTTAAAGAGTTAGCTAGTCAAGGGCAGGTTATTTGCTATTCGTTGTATGGAGTTCTCTTTTCAGAGTTTAAGCTCGGCTGATAGGAAATAAGGCAATGTAATCCTTACTACCTAATTATATAAGTCTAAGTTTTTATTTGTTTTTTCGCGAATCGGAATTGGATATCACGTCTAATACATCCATAAAGTTAAACGGGCTTCTATGACCCTACAGGCTCATGAATAACAGAGAGTTTTAAAATTTAAATTATGCCTTAGGATTCCTCTGGATAGGAGGCTAGGTAAATAACAAACGCAGTCTCGTATGTAATCACTTTTCGCACCTATTTTCCAATCATGTTACTTCATGGCGGTATCCTCTGCACTGGATGACAGGGACATAAAGTCACATTCTATAGCGAACGATGGGGAGGATATATGATCCATGAAGTAACTAAGATTGAAGAATTTAACAGATATACATTCTACCAGCTCTATAGAATGCTAGTAAGAATAGTAATAGTGAATAGGTGCCGGTGAGATATCCCCATAGCGCTACTCCTGGCCCAGCCTGGCGGTTTTTCCTCGAAATGGGGGGTTAGGTAGCATCGGCTCTACCATTGAGCCCATAGACTCAGTCAAGGTAAGGCTACGAAAGATCATGAGACAGTGATCTATATGGGGCTCAGTATCACCCCATATTTCAACCGCAACGCCTGTGAGCCTTGCTCGATACTGTTTCTTCCAGAAGTAGAGAAAGTGTACAATATGCTATATGTTTGTAGCATAGTACGCACGCCTCGTGTTGGTAAGTAAACCCAATGTAGACGGGTCTATCAAATTAGTACCATTTGCATCTGCGAAATAACTCCAGGCACCATCAGGACCAGGACTAGCTTTATCAAACTCTGCTGATACCTCCTCGCCACGGCATCTCGGAGGTAGCCAGGCTGAAGAGAGTATATCGTATTGACAGTCCATTGCCATCGCCTCGGCCATAGACGTTCCGCAGGAACATGAGGCATCTTGTTCTGCCAGAGCAGGATAATCATGCACACGCTGCCACAAGCCGAATAACCCGCAAATTGCTAGTAGGAAGACACAAGATTTCCAAAGCGGGATGAGAAATCGTAAAGGTCGGTACTTCGATGGGCTTTTCGCCCCGTCACCAGGCTCTGGTGCAGAGTCCAGTTCATCATCACCGTCAAAAAGCCTCTGCGTTTCGGATTCAGGCATGGTTAGGCTCGTATCTCGGTAACTAGGCGCAGCCATCGATTAACTGATAGTACTGTAACAGAGGGTAGTGCAAATATCTCCAGAATTATATGCGGTGGAAACGCTACGGATCTGTTAATCAAGACTGCTCAAACGACATAAGCAAGCAGAGAGACAATGGTTACCCACTGCTGAGGATTTAAAAGATGTGCCGGGTGAGGACTTGTGTATTTTTGAAGAGTGTAAACCTGTCATGCGGATAACCTAGAGATCTAAATCACAGACTATTTTTATATTAAACCGAAGGTTCAAGATACATGGGGGCAAAGGCCATATTGTGAGCGTTGAACTGTTATTCGTAGTCATACAGTGATCGCAGAATCTTACCGCTTGCAGTAGTCAGTCCCTGTGCGGTACCACTTCAGTCCACAATTTAACGCTACATTGTGGTCTGTATTTCTATTGGAGCTTATGGCCGATCCAGTGCGGCCCTATTCCTAGCTCTAGAATACCTTAGTTCGGCGTGGTCTTGATTGAAATTGTGATTTCTCGTTGCCCTCCATAACGCTAGGTTACATCGCGCTTCTTGGACCCAGTACAATCCTGTCTCCAGATCTACTCCAGTATGACATTACTTCGGTCAAATACAGCTCTTCACAGTATGTCCATTCTTCCTAGGCCTGTGCTTCTTCGGTCTAGTACTTTCTTATCTTCCCCCTAGAAGCAAGATGCCAGAAGTAACAAAGAGGACTCTCTCCTAGACAAGGAAGGGAGGGCTGGTCCTCAACCCGCATCCACGTCAGACGATAATCATCACTGCTGGTCAGCGATTACGTATTTGGCATGTCGCCAAAGCATGGCCTCAGGAGGCCACTGCTTGAAGGGAGGACACCGTCCTCTCAACCCTCCCTCTTCACTGGGAGGCGCGAGATGCCAGGACCAGAGGCAATGAAAAAAAGACTATTAGAGTATTCGCATCATCAATCATCGGATGCGGTGGAAAAATCCGAAAAGGCTCGGAAATTATGCCACTTACACCGCTCTATTCAACACATCATATCAACGTGTGTTAGGTTGTTCATAATGCATCATCTTACAGCTCAGCTTCGGCAGCAAATCTCTTGCGTCTAAAATCTTTGGTGTTGCATGGGTGGATATAGCCTACCAGTCAAATTTTGTAGCAATTTCTTTATTTTCAAGAAATCTAGGTCAAGTTTAGTCTGGAGGCTCTTACAGTGTATGTTTGAGCTGTTTTCTTCATAGCGAAGACAGTGCTCCAATACAAAACACTATTCAAACTACTGCTACTAGGAGCTAGCGCCTCCACATTATCGGCTTATGGTTAGCTGTAGTTACTAATATATTAATTACAGGAGTAGTAGAAATGGTCGTCTATCGAGGGTGGAACTAATAGACTAGTGCCTTTGGTCATGGTGTTAATATGTCACATGATTTCGTTCAAGCACTAGCAAAGAGCAGTAGTCATGAAGGCGAGACCGTTTATTAAGCAAGGGGTCTTATATACTCAGGGTTGTTATCTAATAGTGAAGCTGAAGGTGCTAACTACATATAGCGCCTTACCGCTTTGTTCTACAGTGGACCTTACTGCGTAATGAAATCTACTACCTCAGTGGTGAAATTTTATAGAACACTCAAACAGATCATACATTCAATTACAATAGTATTGATTATATCCGCCAAATAGAGCAAGACTGCCAAATTGAGGTAGTCACCTATAGTATATCGATGCAAGAACATCACGTGAATGTCCTTACGCTGTCACATGATCATGATCATGTGATCAGATAGGTCGCTGGGCATTCCTCTATAGAGCTTGAGAATGACTGGATCATAGATACTATACAATTCAAGCTATTCATCGTACCTTCGCGTGACACGCACGGGAGGCTAATTAGATGAAAGCTCAATTGGACCACTTAGCGCTGTCGCTTGACATTTTGTATGCTGTAGAGACACGTGACATCCAACCCTATTATCATCTGTAGCCAAGTGTAGAATGCTGCATACGTAAATTTGTTAGGTTATGGACATAGTATGTTGTTGCTGTCTCAAATAGCGTATCGTATTGCATTGTATATCCGCTGCTTTAGTATTGAACACGCTTCTAGAACTCAGGGTAACAAAACGTCCATATCCTCTTTTCCTCGATATTACTACAATTATGCAGTTAATGGTGCTATCTGAAGGTTCTAGCTGTAGGTAGGTAGTACCTTTCCTGCTTTCTACGGTGTACTTTACTACGTCGGATAGCCCGGTGCTTCAGCATGAAACTCAGTCATGAAATCATATTGACACTACTATTTTCGGCTAACATGGCAATTGATAGCAGTAATTATCTAATGAACCACGTACCTCATAGAATTCCCCGCTTGTAACCACCCATTTTAACACGTGGCATGCTCCGCTCACAAACAAATGCTGCTACTCGAGAGCACGTCATCCCATACAAATTTAACATGCTTGCCTCTCTGTATTGTTTCCTAGCAAAAGTAAAACGCGGTGACATTAATTTTATTTTCTCCTACTCACATAATATCCAACAGCTTCGCGAAGCTTGAGTGGAGACGATTGGGAACGAAGCTACAGCCACCATGTCAAGTTTGATCGACCATGCATTCCCTTCTTTCAGCCAAACGCACCCAGGGGTGTTCAGCGCCGTTAGCAATTACTCAGAAACTGGGTTTCACCCGACTACACGGCATTACTCGCGCGCTCGGGGATGGGCTGTCTTGCCTCAATGCACGAAACGTGCTCGTACATGACGCCACGCGAGCTTGCTAATCTGCTCGATCGACGGGAAAGGGGGGGCTGGCGGGAAAACTGCAATGTGAGTCCACGCGTCAGGCACGGCGGCTGTGTGCAGAGATTGAGATGGAGCTGTTTCAACGGCTGTGTGGCGCTGGCGCGGGAAGACACATATGCACTACGAGGGTGGGTGTTGTACCCGCTCTCGGGTGGAAACGTTTCCACACGGTGGACACACCGCTGGGTTGAGCAATGTTAGTTGCGTCAAAGGCTTCTATATACGAGGCTGGCAAGGAACAAGGCGGCAGGGGGTGACACAACACATTGGCCGTTTGAACACGAGTGTGACACAAAGTAACGGGAGCGATATTATGTGTATGCAACAAAGCTACGCAATGATTGCTACACGACTCTGAATCCTTTCCTCCTAGCCCTCCCTCTGGAGCACAGAGCTCCCTGCAGTGAATCACCCCACGCCCCACGTCGTGTGGCGGTTACCGATTTAGCCTGTAGCGAGCTGTGGCTCTTGCGGAACGAAATGCTGGGTATGAGGCGTTTTTTTTGTAATCTGCATATACGTATGTGCTTCGTCAGGATTCCCTGGCTTCGATCAAAGGAAACATGGGGCTTGCTTCGGCGGGTACTGTCGCGGGACAGCCGCGAGTCGTGCAAGATGCAGGAACAGTGTGGAGACGGGATTTAGGTTTGGCTTGACACTGACGTCGAGCAAGTGATTGACATGCTCGCATACGGGTGGTGATGTAGGCGCGTAAAAAAGGGGCATGTAGGCATTGGGAAACATGGGGTGATCAACATGCGCACTCTTGTTCTCGTATTTGATAGGCCTCTCTGCTTGTTCCAGTAGAAAGGTCATTCAAATCCAACGACGAATGATATGCCTCCATCTATGGACTCTGCCGTATATGAAGAAATGTCGATAAGTTCACAAACAATTGTTAGGCACTTGGAAGGAGCTCTGAAACTAATGACGAACACACGTATAAATAAACTCTTGGAAGATACCGTCTTACAAGCCAAACCGGGTTCCCGTAGTTTCTTTAGGAGGTTAACCTGGGTACTATTACACAGGGTACCATTGTGAGTACCAGTATCCAGGGTTTAGAATTGATGTAGGTAATCATAGTAGGCGAGCTAGGTACGTACCTTGCATTTGTAACATAAACTTCACTAGTCTGGGGTTCAACGGCGGCTTGTTTTGCTTTTTCTTTGGACGGCGCAGGCGTTGAGCGCTTAGACAGGCGAGACCAAGCCACTTCTCCCAAGGCTGACCAAAGCAAGAAGTCTGGCCAGGAATTTTGGCCGTGCGCATTTCTTTTCTGGCAGCGTAGCGCTGACAGTGTATCGTAAGATAGAGACGTTCAAAGACACCTGTGACGTCACCCAACACATACCCTAATCTTAACACACTATTATCAATGCCACGACGGGAATGACATGGCGCATGTCTTGGGTTTGGAGAAGTGATTTGAAGGACGGTGAGCTGAGAGCTGAAGTTTGCTGCGGTATGCAGGTAAGCAGACGCACCCTGTCCCTCCAATATTGTGGCGCGCTTCGCTGTCATCCAGGGATCCACCAAGCTATCTCGGCAGAGCTGTGCCACATCTTACGCGATCTCGTTGGAATTTTTGCTTTGTGCAAAATCCATGATCCATGATGCAGGTAATGCTGTGAGAAATCGCCCGTTGATGCTGACCGGTAGGTGGCGTGACAGAGCTTTACAGCCCTGCAGCCTTGCACTACGAGGGCTTGCAGTCTTACTTACTCGAGTCCATCACCGCCAGATTCTGTGATAATGTCATGTTCCCGAGCGCGTGCAGCACATGGCATGCCGACGCTCCTCCTCACGCCACGTTCACGAACATACAGCCGTTTGACTCGGGCCCTCGATAGTCGCAAGATAATCACCGCCAGCTAGGCAGAGAGACATGGGAGCCGCGCTCCAGCCGTAGACGCCTGTGCCTGGCTGGGGCAAGCGATGCATGCGAGATGCATATCATGTATCGACAGACTGTGTCTGGCTCGAAGCGTCATCGAAACCGGCCCAGGGGCGTAGAATCAGGATATTGGATCCGAGAGAGCATGCTGGATTGGGCCTGATGCCAAAGCCCTGCCCTCTCAGAGGCCAGCTGTGCGATGTGGGAATGTTGTTGTCCGACTAAGCCTTCGGGACCCCTCACAAAACTCCGACAAGGCGCCCCAGAGCAGTGACCAAACGCAGACTAGCGCCGGTGAAAATAGAATGATCGGCATGGCGCACTTGGACTTGGTCAGATACTTCTACTCGTCTGCCAGACCATCAAGCTTTCCAAGACTAGGAGAGGGCCCTCAACCTCATGCATGGCCAGGGCCCTAGCCCGCCAGGCAACCCGACCGGCATCAGCGCTGTATATCGACATGTCAACTAAACCACAGGGGCCCCGCTTCATGCGTGATGGAGGCACCACCACCACCGCTGCCGCCTGCAGCCGCTCCACAGCCTGCTGAAGTGGCTTCCCCAAAGCATACACCTTCAGCTATGCCTGCAGCTTCGCCCATTTCTCGGCTGCCTTACTCGGTAAGGGTTGGGAGCCAGCATCGGCATGTCTAGCTGCATTTGTCGTGTAACACGAGCAATACCGACATTTACTCGCATTCTGCCCACTGAGAATTCTCCGTTCGTCTGCTTAGGGCTGATATGCAGCTGTTTCTGACGCCCGCTTTGTCTGGGCTGGCGTTCATACTAAGCCAGCATCTATACCGCTCGTGTGCCGCACACCCTACGGACGGCGATCTTGGACAATGTCACGAGCCGCGCCTACACGATTCCATGGAATCATCATGCCAACTGCTAGTGGTGGGACTATCTGCCTCTACTGAATTGTGCCGTTTAGGGCTCCCATCTGATCCACTCATGAAGCAGGACCCATTTGCCATGCTCGTGGCTATATTACTTGTACCACCCAGTCTCCATCAGCCAGGTCAGCCTCCTCTTTTTTGTTTGTACATCAGATTTCCGGGGGTCTCTGCAACTTTGGGCCCTATTTCTTAGGTGCCTGACAGCTTTCCTTTGCATTTACGGCCTGTGGTTCGTCTTTCGTTAGTCCATCATGGTCTTTTCCATCTCAAGGGTAGCTACTACCCTCGGGCTTCTCTTGCCCACCGTTGCTTCATTCGCCGTATCTTACGAAGACCTTCGACCCAGAACGCCTGAGGTCCCTTGGAAGAAGACTGGGCTTTTCACTGGGCATAGCAAACGGCAGGGGTACGAGACTGCCTGCAATTTTGGCCCCGAGTCCAGAGGATGCTGGTATGGCGACTTCAACATTGATACGGATATGGACGTGTCATGGCCAAACACGGGGAAGACAGTCAAGTACCATCTGACTATCACAAATACCACTGGAGCACCAGACGGTTTCGAGAGGCCAATGCTACTGATCAACGGGCAATACCCAGGACCAGTCAGTGCCACATTAAACATACCAATAAATCATTTCTAATTCATGATAGACTATATTCGCTGACTGGGGAGATGACCTGGAGATCACTGTGACCAATAGCCTTGAAAACAACGGTACAGGTCTACATTGGCACGGTCTGCGGCAACTCGGAACGAATGAACAAGACGGTGTCAACGGCATCACTGAATGCCCAATCGCGCCCGGTGACTCCAAGGTCTACAAGTTCAAAGCAACTCAATACGGCACCACTGTACGTACCGCATGCTGTGCGACTTTTTGTTAGAACACGACTGATCGCCCCAGTGGTATCACTCGCACTACTCAGTGCAATACGGCGACGGCATTGTAGGGCCTCTGATCATCAGAGGACCTTCAACAGCAAACTACGATATTGATCTTGGCCCATTGCCCATGACTGATTGGTTTCACGCAACCACCTTCACCGTGAACGCTGCAGCCGTTCACGCCGCCGGTCCTCCAACCGCAGACAATGTTCTTGTCAACGGCACAATGACATCGGCTTTTGGTGGCAAGTACGGCGAGACAATCCTAACCCCCGGTAAAGCGCATCTGCTGCGCCTGATCAACGTTGGTATCAACAACTACCTCCATGTCGGCCTCGATGGACACAAGTTCAAGGTCATCTCGTCCGATTTCACGCCTATTGAGCCTTTCGAAACTGACAGCCTGGTCCTTGCAGTCGGTAAGTCAATCTAAAGTCGTGCCTATATGCAGGCCCGTTTCATTTAGCACAACATCTTCTTGTGCGACAATGTCCCCACCCACGAAAATACAGTCGCGATAACCACTCTTGATGGTGTCACTAACAAGATCGCCAGGCCAACGCTATGAAGTCATTATTAACGCGACCCAACCTATTGACAACTACTGGCTCCGCGTGGGCACTGGTGGTACATGCGATGGTCCCAATGCCAACGCTGCAAACATCAGGAGCATCTTCCGGTATGCTGGCGCTCCCAGCACGGATCCCACCACCACTGGCGAGCTTCCAACGGGCTGCTACGACGAGACTAACATTGTACCCTACGCCAAGACGACCGTTCCCCAGGAGATGCCGGAACAATTGACCGTAGGCTTCAACCCCAACTACACTAGCGATGTGACGCAAAACCAAGGCCTGGTACAATGGCTTGTAAACGGCAATCCCATGGCAATCGACCTCGAGGTTCCGACACTACAGTCAGTGCTGGATGGCAATGTTACCTTTGGAAACAACCGTCACGTCTTTGCTGTCGATGAGACAAACAAGGTAATTTCCTCCTCTTCTTACCGACCGGCCTGATGATTAACAAATGCTGCAGTGGCAATACTGGGTCATTCAACAGACCGCCACCAACCCACCACTTCCCCACCCAATCCATCTTCACGGCCACGACTTCTACGTCCTCGCACAAGTCGAAAATGCAGTCTGGAACGGCGACATTTCGACGCTGAAGACCGATAACCCCATTCGTCGCGACACGGCCGATCTTCCCGCTGGCGGTTACCTGGTTCTTGCATTCGAGTCTGACAACCCCGGCGCATGGCTCATGCACTGCCACATTCCCTTCCACGTTGCCGCCGGTCTCGGCGTGCAATTCCTCGAGCGCGAATCCGAAATCGGCGCCAAAGACGACTACGCAGAAATGCAACGGACATGCGCAAACTGGAAGTCGTACATTGATGACTTCCATCCAAATGGCATCTTGTTCCCCGGCGACTCTGGACTGCGTCGGTAAAAAAAAAAGTGCAGAAAGCAAGATCTTGTGTTTTTTTTTCTTTTTGTAAAGCCTGATTCAAGGCTGCGGTGGTTATCTTCTGTTTCGATGATGATGATGATGATGATATCAATGATACTCCACCCTCGTTTGCATTTTTTTTTCACCTTTTTTTTGCTTCCTTCACAAGAGCGTTCTTGGGTGGCTGGCTTTTACTTCTTTTTCTTCTCATGTCTCATCACATGCCCGTTAATGATAATGAATTTTTTGAAAAAAAAATGGTCGAGGGATCTTCGTTATCTCTCTCTCTCTCTCTCAAGCTTCAAACCTCTTCCTTCCGCATTTCACTTGACACCATATTGAACACACACACAACCGCATCTCCCTCGCCTTCTTCCCTACAACTACACACACACACACACACACAGAAAAAAAGAACTCTCGCCACCAACACTCACACCACCGCTGGCGTTGCAATAAAGCCCAGGCGCAGCCCCTTCGCTCCGTCCCGCTCCCGTCCCGCCTAGCCCCCAGCCTCTTTCCGTCGTTTCTTTTTTACCGCAGGGACACGACGACACCCTACACGGATGTGCAGCGTGCATACAGGCAAACCATGGTTCAGCGCCGTCTTAGCCCCGCATTAGCCACACCACCAGCGTCTATCCTCGTCTTCCGCGGCCCAGACGGAAGAGGCATGGGGTACGTAAGACACTGCTGCAGATGTAATAGCGCAGGAGAACTCGAGGTGGGGGTTTTTTTGTTAGTTGTGTTGGTGGTTGCTACTGTGTATAGCTTTGCTGTATGCGGTGCGAGCGAGGTACGGAGTAAGTCTGCCCACGACCACGTCCATGCTTTTACAAGTTTTGTTCATTTTTCACGCCGCGCTACCAGTACATGCTGTTTTCTAACAGAGTATTTTAATCGTACGAAGAACGAGCGCGTGTACCAACGAACCAACTAATAAACGAATCCATCTTAAGACAAGAAATGAAAAAGCCGTCATTTCATAGATGTACAGCATTAAAACACCTAGCCCTCCACCTCATCACACTGCTCTCAGGTCCTTCGCCTTCTACCCTTCGTATCCTCATATTCATGCGTGTTAATTTAGATTAAATCCTGCATTCCAGCTTTCATGCTTGTCGTTCTTTTTTCCCAAAAGCTGAGAAGGTACTTAGAAAGGGTGTGAAAGGGTAGCTACACATTAGCTTCTTATCTATAAGAAAGAAAGAAAAAAAAGAAGAAGAAGAAGGAAAGGGGAAAAAGAGCGTGCAAGGTATCCCTCTAATGACGTATTACTTGTTTTACATCCGTAGGTGTACGTATGCACTACTTCAGTGGAGCGAGGCGCCATCAAAAAGACAAAACGAAAGAACAAAAAACGACACAAACGCAAACAAAGTGGAAGCTGAACCGATAAAGTGCAATAAGAAAGGGTGGAGATTCAATTTTCTGATTGACTTTCTTGTGATACACCTACGCAAGTGATTTCGATATGTTGATGCAGTGGATTTGAGTAGGGTAACACAATAGAAGCATGACAAAATGATACTATCCCCTGTACCCTATTTTTTCGACTATTTACATACGAAGATTATATGTGTGTGTGGTAAAATCAAAAATGACCATGTGGTTGATGTTACCGCTCAGCGGGAGGATCCTGCTCGTCTCGCTATGGGTATACAAAGAGCTACGTGGCTGCACCACCACCACCAAACATGTGCAGATGTAGCACGAGAAAGCACCTTCTTCCCATCTCACGAAGCTGATGCCAAAGTCTCAGTCTGGGGCTCTTCAGCTCTTTCCTTACCCTTCAAACTGCCACTTGAACTAGGCTCGCCCTCTGTCTCCATCTTGGCTTCGCTACTCTTTTCCTCACTCTGCTGTTGCTGTTGCTGTTGCTGGTATGCCTGGGCTGCTTCTTGTCTCTTCCTTGCTTCTTCTTCTTGCCTTTGTCTCTCTTCCTGTGCTGCTACCCTCTCCTGTCGCTCTCTTTCTTCTTGCGCATGCACCATTCTCTCACCCACACCAGGGAATAGACTGGCAATGAAGAGTGCAAAGGCGCGTTCGACCCCACGCATGCTCTCTCGTATCCAGCCAAACCTCTGATCTTGCCTTTGCTGTAAGATGCGCCGAGCTGCTTCCTCTGGCGTCATGTTACCTCGCGGACGTTGGTTGGTGGGTTGGACCGCACGTTCGGCGATGGCTCCAATGTTGAGAAGAGCCTCAAAGTGGCGACGTAAAAAGTTGATATGGTCCTCGAACATGCCAATCTGTGCTAAATAGACGATGCCAGCAACGGCTCCCAGCATGAGAGGCCTGTAGATACTGCCTCCTCCGGCGAAGATGTAGACAAAGACAGCTAACTTGAAGATGAGCCACAAATGTCCGGCAATATTGGCCATGCGGTCGTTTTCGTCTGGTTGCGGTGCGTTGAGGTTTTCGTTTTGGTCTTGATTCTGTACCTGATCTCGTCCTCGGTTCTGATCTTGAGCCTGACCATCAGCCACTGGCGGCGCTGTTGGGGTTGGCTGCATATTGGCTATCTGATTGTGCAACTGGTTCGTCCCTTGCCCCATTTGTTGTCCCAGGCCGGCAATGAGCTGCCTGTTCTGTGCAAACTGACTCGAGAAAGTTTGAAACGGTAGAGTGGGCAGCGCAGGGGCTGTGGTGTATGTGCCTTGCTGATCGAAAAGAACTCCGACTGGACCTTGAGGACTCGACAAAAGGAATAGCTCCGCCGGCGCATCCGCTGGTATCGTTTGTGTAGCATGTTCTACTTGGGGATGGCTTGTAGTAGATACTGCCGGTGTTGTGGTGGACGCTACTAATGGTGTGTCTGGGGAACCTTCTGCAGTCCCGCTCTGTTGACGATCGAGCAGGATGTTCAACTCAACAGCATCAATCCTGAGTTCAGTCGCTGAACGCCGAAGGGCCACAACCTCAGGGTCTGTGGGAAGCAATGCCAGAGCGCGGTCAACAACATTTAGGTTCTGATTTACAGTGTTCAGATGCTGACGTAGGCGGTCGATTCGCCATGGTGGGATACTCAGTGACGGAGGTAGATTCAGCACGGAAAACCCTCCACCTTGTACACCAGGTTCGTCGGGGATTTGCAGCAATGCTCGGATATTATCCATTTCGCGTTTTGTTTCCTGGAAAATCCTTTGAATACGAGGCAACAAACGTTGGGTTTCATTGACCATGGGTAGTGTACCGGTTGGAAGCGGCGGACGGCCAAAAGCCAGCGCATGTGGAATAGTAAACGGAGCGACAGTCTGTGGTAGTCGCGCAGGTATGATCTGGTTATAGGTAACAGTCCAGCGGGCCCCGTTGTGAGTGATGCCATCTCGCCTTATCGCTTGGTCGCCGTTCCCGGGGAGGTTGGGCAGTCCTAGTGGTGGCAAAGGAGCTGCCTCGGGAGCTGGTGGGTGCGCTCCATCTGGAGCAGCTTGTGTGTCTTGATTCGGCGGCTCGCTCGTCCGGTCTAAAGGTTGCCCATCATCCCGTGGCCCCTGCTGTCCAATTGCTTGAGCGATTTGTTGTTGGAGCTGCGGGAGCAGATGCAGACCGATAGGGTTCACTTGTGCCGGTAGGCGGTTGGGTTGCGAATCGGGTCGAGGGTGTGGTATTGTTCGAAATGGATTCGTTTGCAGAGGGTTCACAGCGGGGCCATCTGGGGCCGGAGAGCGGAAGGAACTTGGTGGGACGGTCGCTGGTCGCGGAGCAGGCGGAGACGATGCGGGTTGAGGCAGCTCTCGTATGACCAAGTGGAGGCTTTGGTCTTTGCTCTCTCGTATCTATGCTCGGCGTTAGCAGTTGCTCGCCTGACAGTAGTGGCAACGTACGTTGTCGGCTCCAAACACGGCGCTCAACGTGTCGGCATCGTTGGCCACCACCCGCCCTCTGTATATCAGGCGCATGCGCTCGGGGGCAGGCTTCGAGGGCACGGCATTCTGTATACGACTCCGCAGCTCTTTCACCGTCGTGGAGGCGGGGATGTCGACAAAGTTCACGCCGCCCTCTACTTCGGCCGAGGGAGAAAGGACCTTGAGATTGATGGTTTGCTCTTCTTCGGCCATGATGTCCAGGTCAAGCCGTTACCGTGAGAGGATGGAGTGGTCCCGGTCAGCAAGTGGGCGACGTGTTTGCATACGTTGCATTTAAAGCTCCGGATTCGCCGTGACCACCGTGGCGGCTGCCATGCATATGTATGTGGTGAAGCGGGTGCGTGGGTGCCCTGCCACCAACGTGAACAATAGTGCGGATCCGGCTCTTTGCTGCTTATGTACTCTCTGGCACTTTGGGCGTCCCCGCGATGTGTGCACGCGATGCGACAAGTGAAGGAGGGATGCAACGCACCTCCGAAACCACGCCCGCAGCGCGCTAAGTAGGCCCCGGCGCCGGTGGATACGTCACTGGCTGGCCGGGCCTGTGCATTTTCCCACACGGCGCGAACGCCTTTGCCATCATCATCTCCTCGCCCCGCCATTGTGCGCCGTCCCCGCCTGGGATGATTGAGACGACAACAAGAGACCCGGCCCATGTATAGATGATGAACATGGCGTCTTCCTGCTCGCGCCAGCTCATGCGAGCCCCGCTCCGTCCGCGGTTTCACACACGCACACACGCACATGCACGCCGCCCGGCCCCGTCGCGCACCTTCACTTCGACTCGGGCGTCGTGCGACAAGCAGGATTTCCACCGCAAAGAGTCGTTTAGGTCACGGCTCAACTCGGCGCTCAAGAACACCAAAATCAAATGGGAGCCAATACCAATCGCACTCGGCATTGGCTTCCTCGGTGCATTCCAAGTGTACCGCATACAGCGCCGGGAAAAGCATACAGAGGCCGAGGGGCAAAATGGAGGCGAGGATGCCCAAGGCCGCCCCAAGAAGCGCGAGAGGATACGGCCAAGCGGGCCATGGACCGTCCAGGTCATGTCCACTCTGCCACTCAAAGCTCTTTCGCGCCTGTGGGGGCGCTTCAACGAGATCGACATCCCGTACTACCTGCGCGTGCCTGGCTTCAAGCTCTACTCTTGGATATTTGGCGTCAAGTCAGTCACAATCTCCAGTATTGACAGCTTCTGACTAATCGCCTATAGTCTCTCCGAAGTTTCAGAACCAGACCTACATGTATACCCCAACCTCGCCGCATTCTTCTACCGCACCCTCAAACCCGGGGTCCGCCCTCTAGATCCTAACCCCAATGCCGTCCTCTCTCCTGCAGATGGCAAGATTATCCAATTCGGTACCATTGAGCACGGCGAAGTGGAGCAAGTCAAGGGTGTAACGTACAGCTTGGACGCTCTGCTAGGCTCCACTAGGCCCAGCAAGCCAGATCACAATATTGCCAACTCGCAAGTCCGCGCCAGCGAGCACGAAAAGACGCCACAAGACGAAGAGGATACTGTTCGTGCAGACGAGGAATTCGCAAACGTAAATGGTATTTCGTACACGCTACCCAACCTGTTCTCCGGACCATGGCCCAAAGGCGGAAAGCCGGCCGAAATGCCAACGGATCAGTCTGTTCCATCGACTGCCTCGTCCGAAGCCGAAGTACGCGCCGACCTTGCTTTGAGCGAAGCACAACGCCCATGGTGGGCACCGGCGTCTCAAACGACACCCACAGTGCTCTACTACTGCGTCGTGTACCTCGCGCCGGGCGACTACCACCGGTTCCATTCGCCCGTGTCATGGGTTGTTGAGTCGCGCCGCCACTTTGCTGGCGAGCTCTACAGTGTATCGCCGTACCTGCAGCGCACCATGCCTGGTCTGTTCACGCTGAACGAGCGAGTGGTTTTGCTGGGGAGATGGCGCTGGGGATTCTTTTCTTACACGCCCGTGGGCGCAACCAACGTCGGTTCTATCAAAATCAACTTTGATCGTGAACTCCGTACCAACAGCCTGACCACGGACACTGCGGCAGATCGGGCAGCGGAGGAAGCGGCAGCGCGTGGTGAACCATACTCTGGTTTCGCCGAAGCTTCCTATACAAGCGCCGGCCGTGTCTTGGGAGGATATGCACTCAAACGCGGCGATGAAATGGGTGGGTTTCAGTTGGGCAGTACGATTGTCTTGGTGTTTGAAGCGCCAAAGGGCGTCCGACCTAGTTTAGACGAAGGCTTTAGCGGCATTCGCGGTGAGAGGAAAGGTGGCTTCAGATGGAACATCGAACAAGGGAAGAAGGTCAAGGTTGGCGAGGCGTTGGGTTATGTGGAGGAAGTCCTGTAACACATGGATCCCTTTACTCGAGGCATCCTATCCACACAAAAAAAGGATACCGCGCTGGAACTCCGACGGTTCTGTTGCGCGATTGCGACCGGTTCACGCATGGCATGTGGTGATTACTATGGGCCATATCTGTCTTTGATTGCCCGTCATGCTACCACCGACTTATCTACGCTTTGACCTTTGCCCCAACCTCAAGCGGAAGAAGGGCCTAAAAGCCTACGGCGCCGTTATCAATGTCGGACCTAGAAGGGCACAAGGCAGTTAGTTGAATTCCTCGGGCATGCCTAGCAGCGCCGCAATCTTGCATGAGCTGGACCTTTGATTGCATAGCCCGCTCTGACGCGCATGCATGCATGGCATTGCACTGCTCCTCTTGATGGCGCTGGATTGTCCCGCTGAACAGAGTGTTGAGGCAGTGGGCGAGAGAGAATAAGCCGGTGAACGCACTTCTAGAAGTGTCAGGCTTGGCATACTACTACTTATGCGGCGATGGATTGGATGGCGGCGGTAGGCAGGGGAAGCACAGGAGGCCTTGGAGGCAATTGGGGCAGCCAAGCCCACGAGCACATGTCAGGCGGCGGCCAAAAATAGCAGATGGGCATATGGAAGCTGGGGGCCGAGGAAGCGTGAGGGTGAGCTAGTAGGAGAGAGATACGGGGTGGGAGTGGGAGTGGGAGTGGGAGCGCAGGCAGTCCAGGTAGATGTATGTATGTAATCCGCCTCGAGCCGCGCTAGTCTGGTTCGGGCGGGCAACCCTGCTCGTGAGGCTTTGTGTGTACAGGACAAGGTGTATACAGGCACACGGGTACCACATGTCTCTCGCGCGCCGTGGATGGGAGACGCGGTCACGGTCGACCCGGCTCGACGTAGGCAGCACGACTTCGGGCCGGGCATGAGGAGAATGGGCTGATAAAGCAATGTGCGCACCGCTAGGGGTTGCTGATCTCTCATGGCTCCGTCCTAGTCGGCATGCTGGGTCCGGGGGGCCGCATGCAGGCACCTTGGACATGCCCATGTCGGGCCCAAAAGGCAAGGCTCTCGATATATACATAGGTACGCGCAGAGCTGCTCCCCCACTTGGCGTGCTCTCGGTGCGTGTGCAGCGTCGAGGGCGGCACGCAAAGGCGTTGAGCGTGAGGATGCAGACGGACTACCGATGCAGCATCGCGCAGAGGCAGCACCGGCACTGCCACCGCCGCCATCTCAGCACCAGTTTCCGCACTTGGTTGCACCGGCACGGGTCTTTTTTCCATTTGTCCAGCGGCGCTGCACGTGCGGCAAGGCTGGGGGCTGATGGCCCAAGACGCGCAGCAAGGTGACTCGGGGCGCTTTTGCTCTAGACAGCCGTTCGTTGCCCGCTGCCCGCTGCCCGTCGTTCATTGCCCGTTGCCCGTTGCCCGTTGCCCGTTGCTCAGGCGTGGTGGTTTATTATTAGCTGCGCGCATCGTCTCCGCCCCCGCCATCCTCAACTTGCTTCGCGGCGGAGCTTGAAGCTGCCAACTTTGCGATGCCTGCCTTTCCATGGACAAAGTCGAACAAGTCGCACCAGTCTGTCGAGAACTCGTCGCCGGGCCAATCGTCGCCTGTGCCATCAGCAAAGGACCTCCTCAATGACCCCGTCGCCGCCCCGCGATACCAGCCTTCAGACGGCCACCAAGCAGCGCTCCACATCCAGCAGCAGTCCGCTGTGCAGCAACAACAGCAACAGCAACAGCAACAGCAACAGCAGCAGCAACAGCAACAACAACAACAGCAGCAGCAGCAGCAGCAACAGAGCCCGCCCAGCTCGGCGCGCAATCGATACAGCGAACCCTCGCCCCAGCGAAGTGCAAGCCACAGGCTGAGCGCACACTTCTCCCTGGGCCAGGCGCCCCAAAACTACCAGCAGCAACCGGGCCCTCCGCCGCCCTCGCAAGCAAGCCTCGAGCCGCCAAACCACGTCTCGTACCCGCCCTCATCGCCCCCGCCCGCCTACGCCCCAGAGCCCAAGAAACAGTCGCTGCGCAGTCGCATTGCAGCCGGCGTCCGCGGCCACAAGGACGAGGAGGCCAAGGCACAGAAGAACAACGGCCTGAGCAGGCGCCAGTCAGTCCGCAAAAGCGAGCCTCGCACCCACGACTACCAAGCACAGGCCGACGGCCGCTTGTCGCCCTGGCACCAACATCACGGATCGTCGTCCCACTTGCCCGCCTCGAGAGAGCAGGACGAAGACGACCTGGATCCATACCTGCAGCAGGAAGAAAATCCCCAGGTGCCGCCCAAAGATATCCAGTACCAGCAAAACTTGCAACGGCCCAAACAATTTGCTTCTCAGCCGCATCAGGAACCCTACGTTCGGCCCCCACTTGGCAGCGTGAGCACGGAGGGCAGCTATTCGACCCAGGGCGGGGTAGAGCACTACAGCCCAGAGCAACACCAAGGGCAGGGTCAACAGCAATCACCACAACACCAAGGGAACCACCACCATCAACAGCCATTTCAAAGCTACCAGCCTGCTCCTCCGCACTCACAGGCTCCTGGCTCCTTTGCCGTCTTCAATACTCAAAACTCGTCGAGCTCGTTGCTGCAGAGCACTCAGCTGCATGGGCACAGCGCGCCAGCACAAGATAATCAACAAAATTATTATCAATATCAGCAGCAGCAGCAGTCGCAACAGCAATCGCCCCCATCGACCCAGACTCAGTCGTCGATAGACAACTCGCAGGGTTTGCATTCCCAACATCAGCCGCACTTTGCACCTCAGCTCCAACCACAATCCGATCAACAGCAGCAGCAGCAACAGCCGTCGCCGTCTCAGGTTCCACGGCCGATTTCGCAGCAGCAGTCCGAACTGCACGACCCACAAACGCCTCGACAGCATCTCCCTGCTGTTCCACAGATCAGGCAGGTCGAGCCACCGCCATCGCAACAACGCAGACCACTCTCGTCCCACCAGCTTGCCCCACCGTCGCCGCTGCAGCCTACGCCGTATCAACATTACGAAGCGCAGCCAGCCAAGCACCAGCAGTCATCCGATCTGCACCCACCGAGCAACACACCGCAAAACAAGGGGTCGGAGGTCATGACGCCTAGCGCTCCGGGCAGCAGCAGAAATATACCGCGGAAACCCAGCGAGGGTGGCCAGCAACCAGGGGTACTCTCGAGAGAGGTTTCTCTACTCACACAACCCCCTGCTTCAGGTCACGGCCAGCCAGCTGTATCGCCAGGTGTTGCGACGTTCGACGCCAACGTCGTACCTACAGCTTCCCAAGGACAACCAACTCGGGCCGAGAAGCAAGGGCAACAGGGTTCGGAAATGGGGCGAGGAACACCACCGCCGCGCGCACCTGCTTCGGAGATGACAGAGGAGGAGATTGAAAAAATGATCAAAGATCACGACGTTTTGCGTAAGTACCACGGTCTAGCAGCGCAGTCATTCTGTTCTAACATGCCACAGGCGAGAAGTACCAAAAGGTCAAAAGATACTTTTTCGAACAACAAAGCCAGGTCCACCAGCTCCAGAACACGCTCGCAAACCAGCGCCTTTCTCTTTCGCGCACATCGTGGGATGACAGTGAATACTCCACTCGCTTTAATCGCCTCGATGGGTTGATCGCACAGCTGTCTTTCTCTATCCGTAAGGACTGGAAGTCAATACCGCAATGGCTACATCCTGTAGTCAACAAGACAGCTGTCGAGACTGGCAAGCAGGAGATGACTGCAGTCGGCCGTGCCTTCATCTCGCATTGGCTTGTAGAGAACATATTCGATAAATACTTTCACCCCGACCTGGAGCCGGGTCTTTCGACACAACTGCAGTTGATTGTATCAAACATTCGGAAATTTTCGCCACCCTGCCATACTTCAGAAGAAGAAGACGCGCTTGCTGCAAAGATCATCAACTGGCGGCTGGCTACGCTAGAAGGTCTTGCGGACAACTTCAGAGAGCCACAGGCAACTAACTATCGAGAGACGCTTATTGGAACACTCAACGAGAAGTTGATTGCCTCTCTTCAAATGCACCTGAATGATCCTGCGCCTCCAGATCTCAATGGAGGTGTTCCCATGATCATTGAACTGGCTGTCAGCATTGCCCAACACTTGCCGCTGGAAAGTCGAGAAGTACACATTGAGTACTTCACGCCTGGCCACGGCATTGTGAGCGATCTGATGAAGCCAGAATCCGGCATCCCTGCCTTGACAGCCCCCATTCTCGAACTGGATGATGCTGATAGGGCTTCTGTCAGAAGTATGGCATCGAAACATGATGATAACATCTCCATTGCGGAGCAAGATCAAGCACAAGCACAAGGGCAACAGCCTCCAAAAGAAGACAAGAAACGCAGCATGTTTGGATTTGGTGCTACAAAGAAAACAGCTTCTCCTGCTTCCCTCGGCAAGCGAGAGTCATCGCTGGGCCAAGGAGGCAGCCAGCAGAGTCTGACACAGAATCCTCAGAGCAACGCCAATGGCGCAAAGGACGAGTCTGTGCCACCTCGTGTTCGTATGGCTGTCGGACTCGCAGTCGAGATTCGCGGCAAGACCGTGTTGATCAAGGCTCCGGTTTACAGCACATGAGGCTGCTAGAGGCGATTATTATGAAGACGCAGGATAATGTGTCTTTTGGATTGCGCGATCTAGCAAGCAAGCGTTTCAGCATTTTGTTGTCATCATCTCACAGGTACAAATCTTGTATGCGGTCGGATTTCGGATTGGATATGCTTTCACTCTCAATGGCTATACCCAGGACACTTAACATCTGTTCATAAACTTCGCTTTACTATGTCTGGATGTGCATTAGTACCCTCGTTGCTATCATGTGTAAATGCAACCAGCCGTTGTGGCCGAGTGTCATGAATACATGGCCGTGCGACGAATCGCATTCACGCTAGTTGCGGCCGCTTCGAGCGCTCATTGGTCAAATGTCCGAATGCCTTTTGTTTACCGGACCAAACATCATCGTTCCAAAGCCCTCGTGACCCCCGCTCCATATCTAACGCCATGGAGAATATACATATATCGGAGCAAATTAAATGTCAGCTTCCTTGTCAAAGGATCGCATCCAGCAGCTACTGACCCAAATCAGCTTCCGCGCTGGCTGTTCCTTCACCGGCCGCGACACATACAGCATATGTTAATGGCGCACGCTTGCAAATACGATGCCTCTCCACCTTTGAAATTGTGCGAAGCATAATAGTACCGTCTACCCATGACTTGCGCACTTCGAAGATTGCATGGTCACCTCCCGTCACCTCGCTCTTGACGTCGTCGACACCCACATCTTCGCCCACGACCACACCTCCACGCCGCTCGTCACGGACACCGCGCCCCTGCTCGAACCGCGTCCTCATATACGACGATGATGTGGCGCGCGTCTACGATCTTCGCGACGAGAAATGGAATGCTGTCATCAGCAATGGATCGGGAGGCATGGGCAAGAACGTGCACGTCGAGTTTGGCGGCAACGAGCATGAGGTGCTTGTCTGGACCGATTTCACCGCATGTGTCAAGATATGGTGTCTCAAGACGGGCCGGGCTGTAGAAATACGCGACCCAAAGTTCCCTGGCAAGGACGGCAAGGGCTGGGGATACCGACCTTGTGACGACACGGGGTCAAGGGGCGGAGGACGGGGACGTGTTCTGGCGCTGTTGTGTCGCGCATCAGGGACAGATATCTTGCTGCTCCTCGCCGCGCAGACATACAAGGTGCTGAACCGAGTCGAACTCGCGACTACAGATGCCGCAGGGCTGAAATGGAGTCGCGATGGGCGTTGGTTAGCCGTCTGGGACGCCGCGTCTGCCGGCTACAAGCTGTGCATCTACACCGCTGACGGACATTTGTACCGCACCATACTCCGCGAAGCTGCCGAAGACGCCAGCGAGTGGGATGTAGAAGGCCTGGGCATCAAGAGCCTGGAATGGGTCCCTGGACACGAACGTCTCGCAGTTGGTGGTTGGGATCGCCGTGTTCGCATCCTCTCTACACGCACATTTGCACCTGTCGTGTTCCTCGACCACACTCCAGTCATAGATGTGCCCAGCGCACCTGTGTATAGCGAACAAGTCGACAGTCGGGGCAACCGCAGCTTCGTAATCGCACAGCAGCCTGTCACGCCGCCAAAGGCCGCTTTGGAGAAGAACGAGACTGCGCATATGAAGCAAGGCATCGGCATGCTGGGCTTCAACTCTGAGGGAACAATGTGCGCGAGCAGAGACGATAGTACCCCCTGTACAGTTTGGATCTGGGATATAAGAAGCCTACGACCACGCACAATAATCATGATGCACGCGCCTGTCAAAGCGCTCCTATGGCATCCCAACGACCCCAATCGCCTACTCATCCAAAGCTCGCATGACGACCCCATCGTATACTTATACACGGCCTCACACCGCTCACACCCAGCCTCATCCGCAAGCTCGTCCTCGACAACACAACTCGCACCAGCCATCATCTCCCTCGCCTCGCACATCTCCAAGCCCGCAGTCTCAGTCCCCGCCCGGTGCACAACCTCGTGGCTCTCCACGCCCGCAGCCAAGAATCCCTGTTTCATCGTCGCCCACAGCCAAGCTTCCGTGCTTGTCTGGCCAGATGGAAAAGACGTGCTTCGGCACTCTGGCCACCAAGACAGCGACCATGACGACGACGGCGACGAAGTTGAAGCAGAAGAAGAAGAAGAAGCAGCAGAAGAAGAAGAAGCAGAAGAAGAAGAAGAGGGCTCAGACGACAGTCTATACGACATCTTGACAGGACGCACCCCCATACCAGACATGAGGCACAGCATCGATGTCGACGCCATACATAGCGACGGCGACGACTTAGGCGATAGCATAGGCACACTACAGGGTCTCGACGACACGTTTCGCGGCAAGAGGGCTGAGCGCGAGCGCGAGGCCGAACTGCATGACGAGTACACGTTCCATGAACATGAGGAGGGTGTGTTGGGTGATAGTGGTATGAGTGAAATGTTTTAAGCCTGTCTTCTTATAATTCTTCTTCTTTTTTTTATGGAAGGGGGACTTGCATCTATGCTTGCTTGTTGTTTTCCCAAGTGCTCATTCACACGCGTAAAGTCTATGTGTGAACGCCAGTCTTGTGTAAGATGCGATTCTAGTTCCCCGGGGAGAAACACCTTTGGCTTCGGACGTTGTATACGCAGTATCACGCAGTTTTGTCTAGTGTAGTGTAGGTATCAAGCACCGTTGTAGTGAGTGCTACGATTGAACAAAAAAAACAGATATGTTATATTGGAATTGCTTTTTCGAGGAGTTATGTTATTCAAGTATATCTGGCATATATATAATACCGAATACGTCCATCTCTCATGTCGAGTTGAAAGTTAAAAAGGTGCGAAAGAAAAGAAAGAAAAAAAAGAACGAAAAAAATGGTTACATTTCCCCATGACCACTCCACTCCCACTCCCCTCCTCTCTTCTTCTACTTCTTCTTCTTCTCATCCTCAAACCCCCACCGCCCCGTCTGATCCAAGCCAAGCGGATTCTGCCCCGTCTGTTCCTTGCCAGCAATCTTCTCAGGCTTACTATAGCTATCTGCGTTTTTGCCGCCGAGGATCTCAGCGCGCTCGTCCTCGTGGCCTAGCAGCGGGCCCAGGGCGCCGCGCGTGGTGCCGCCGAGGCCTTCGCCCAGCGGGCCGGTGACGAATTTCTCGAGGGGCGCGCCGACGGGGCGCAGGGCCGTGTTGAGCACGTTGCCTGTGGGAAGGCGAGTTAGGAGCGTGAGGTAGGTGAGATTTGGGGATTTGGGGATTTGCGATGGAGACGTGCTAAATGCAGAGGGATGAGATGAGGTGTAGATGCAAGACGACGTACCGACTGGATCGCCGATTCCACTCAGTAAGCCTCCGGTTCCTTTGCTCTCTTCTTGGGTGTCGGATTGAGGCTCCGTGGGGATGTGGTCTTGGGTCTGCTGTTCTTTCTTGTCTTCGGCCATTTTGATTTCCTTTCTGTTTATGCTCTTGCTTTCTTGACTCGATGTGTGTTGGAATCAAGACTAAAAGTCGATGCTTGATGCGGTTTGTTTATAAGGTTACTTCTTGTGGTGTATGTAAATTCAAGTGGGAATCTGTGAATCTGGTATGGAGTGAAGAGTATGGAGATGCAAACCAAGATTCGCTGACTTAGACTGACGACTTTATTAGTCTTGTAGCAGCTGAACTGGCCCAAGTCATGGCTGTGTTAGATCAAGCTTTCGAGTGGGTTGTGACGTCAGACGTGAGGTTTGACGCGTTACAAGATTGGCGGGGCTCCGTACGCGACCAAGGGATCGACACATTCATCGCCACACACGGAAACATCACAGCGTTTGCAAAGCAGTGGTATGTATTGAGAAGAGTAGAGAATTAGTGTACAGGAGGCCTGTGTGCATCCAGAGCACAGGAAAAGGCCAAAACATGATCATCTGGTACGCGCCATAGCCTCGTCGCCCTTGACGCGCAACTCCTTCAAAAGCAGGGGTCGTTAGAAGGAACATTCAAAGTGCAAGGATCATTGACAGCCACTTTGCTCAGAGGCCTCGTAAAATGCAAAAGCAAATAGAATAGGTGTAATGTCATAAGCCACTTTTGTCTTGCAGGTAAAGCAGAAGTATTGCAATGTGACGTGCCAATATCGCTCCTGGAAGAGCATCCTGGCAACTCGGGACAAAGATGTCGTATTCGACTATATCTGAAATGTCAGTGAGTACTTTGCTAGCGTCCACTCGCATGACCTACCGGGAGACGGACAGCAGTCGGAGCCTGATCATCCCGCGACGGTAGGACGAGCAGTTGCGTTGATATCTTCCTTGGTGTGGTGCGCATAGATGGCAACATCCACTTCTTTACCGAGCTTGTATCCCACTTTTGGAAGTCGACCGACACGCGTGAACTTGCATTCGGTGAGGAATCGGCCCTGCCACTCCCTCTCTGCATCTTCGCCGTGCTCATGATGAACATTAAGCAGGATAGTCTTGACGACTCTTGAGGGCCCAGTCTTGAGGTACTCGTAGTTGTTGATGTACTCGTATCCACCACGGACACGGTAACTGGTGTCTACTATCTCCAGAAGCCGATCCATAAGACACTTGCCGATTCCTTTACACACGAAGCCCGGATGAACAAACAGCTCCATTTGAAAAGTATAGCGGAATAGACTCGCCTGACCGCAGTAGTCATCCAGATTGATGTACCCAACGACCTTCTCGTGGACATAACCTGGAGTAACTCGAGACCGGTTGCTTTTCGAAATAGCTACCAAGTACGGGTGGCCTGCACTGGTAATGTCATTGACTCGCTGACGGATCTGGGCGTCGGTGCGGACGTCAAACTCGTGTGTGTAGATGGAATTCTCGACGTAATAGTTGTATATCTCCTAAGCTCAAAGTTAGCAACTCACGTAATTTGCAGCCTACAAACACACGCAACATAATCATCAGAACAATCATGCAGTTTTGTACTTACACCAATAGCATGGATGTCTGCTGGCTGAACAGGACGAAGGTAAATGTTGGCCTTGGGGCGGATGCGGCGGTCTTCCATTACGGGCATCGGGAACTTCGATTCGGGAACCGGGCGAGTGCGTCTGGCCAACGTACGGCGTTGCTTCTCTTCCATACGCTTCTTTTTTTCCTGGATCTTGTCTACAACCGAAGCCAACTTCCAAGACTCTATGGGATTCTCTGGGTCTGTAAGATCGACCATGGCATCCGGTACTGGGAGAGCGTTCAGGTAACAGCTCGCATGTCCAAGTTGCTGTTGGCCCTGGCCATTCTTTTGCACCAACTCTGAGTAGACCACGTCCTCGTACAATTCCCACCAAGGTTGGTAGCCTGTGAGGTCGATATCATCCAGTGGTTCCGGTTGCGAAGCAGAGATCGTCTTCCAAGACTCTCTCAGAGTAGTACCTTCAACCTTTGCCTCAAGCCAATAGCGAGGCGCTAGCTCTTTACACACTCCGCCATTGTCGATGAATGTATTTGGTAGGTAATATACGGGCTTGCAACACTCTGGAGCATGTCCGTTCATCCATTGCTCTATGTGTTGGCCAAAGTGACGGTCTGCATGTCCCTTGCGAGCGGACCACGATTCGGGGGCGGGCAGCCAATCGCCGTTCCAGTCTAGCAATTTCTTGACGTCGTAGTCAGGGTCCCCGTTGCTGTTGGATCTGCACTCGATACCGCCATCACTGCCGTCACTGGAGGAAGCGCATCTCATGTCCTTGGCCTTTGGCCAGACTGTCTTTTTGTGGGGCTGATTATTGCGAGGCCAACGCGGATTTCCGGGTTTCTTGGTAGCAGGCGCAGGCTTGGGCTTTGGCTCGTCCCAACGGACGTTGAAATCTGCAGGCAAGGCTACATCATGTTTCTCTTGCTCTACAGGCTCCTGCAAGGTAGTTGGTGGCGAAACCGGTGTTGCTTGATGCGAGTTGACGCGGTTCCTGCAACCACATTAGAAGTGCAAAGACAGAGACAGCAGCAGTTTAAAATGCAAAATGCAAGAAGGGGACTCGATTCACAAGGGGAGAGCTTACGGAGTCGAGTCGGGCTTGGAGGCACCAGTCGCCTTGGACTTTTCCGAGGATGCAGGCGAGACGTTGGCGGCAGCGCTTCCATTTCCTAGATGTGCTTTCGCGCTGTTGGCAGACGTGCGATTGCGCAGGTGAGGGGGAACATAGGCTTCTCTCCGTAAGGAAGTCATGTTGGTCTCTTTTGGTCTTCTCTTCTTGTTGTACGGCGATTTATTTTTCGAGGGACCCAGGGATATGGGCGCCTGCTTGGCTGTGGTTGAAGTTGGGGTTGAGTTGTTCGCAGGCGTAGCTGTTTTGGCGCCGTGGTAGGATACTGAGGCAGCTGTGGGGGCCTGTGATTTGCGTCGGTGTCGCCTAGGGTAAGGTGAAGGATCCGTCTGCGGCGCTAGCTTACAATTTCCAGCATCTGTTGCTATTGTGTGCGTTCCTCCAATAGCCTTGTGACGTAATGGCTTTGACTGGGGCCAGCGTGAGCGGTTTTTACACGGCGTCTGTTCCTGTTTGCTCTATTAGTGTCACGGTGAAGGACGAGTCAAGCAAACTCGGAAGTACGAGAAGGCTGTTGAAAGCGATCAGAAGGCCAGATGTCGTCTTGTGCGACACTCACCATAAGCGGTGAGTGCAAGACAAACATGGAGTCGCTAGGATTGAAACGACTTACTGCAAGCTTTGCAAGATCCTCCTGCTGCTGCCAAGTCATGACTTCACTGTCTGGTTGCTTTGGGGTGCTGGTTGCAGCGTCGAGAGATTCCCATTCGGGGGGTTGGAGCACCGGCGGCTGTGGCATTGAGCTGCGAGGGCAGAAGCTTCTGGTGACTCTGCTCATGACGCAAGCTGCAGTGCACGTCCAGACAGGAGGAAGGCGCTGGTGTAGTCTTGGATACGGAAGGAACAGCCAAGCAGGTGCAGAGGTAGGGGGATGGAATGTCTAATGGTGCAGCCTTATTCTTAGCTGGGTGAGCCTGATACATGCGGTGATTTTCTGTTGTTCTCTCACCCAAGGCGATTCGGTTTATATCGCAAGGGCAATAGGGAGGCTCCCAAAAAGGCTTTTATTGTCTCTCCTTTAACCATGGTATGATGGAGTATCACCAGGCTAATCATCCACAGCGGCCCACCAATGACGATGGGCGGATTACTCTCACCTCGACCTGCATGGCGATGTTCTATCTTGCAATTTCAGCATAGAAGAGATTTCTATAGAATATTTGGAGCAGCGTCAAGCCGACTGCTAAGCGTGGTGAGTTGGCGTTGAATGCCGGCGTCCGCAAACGGTTTAGCCCCAAGCGGATGCAGGAAGCCCATGCTCACATTGTCTTGTTTCTGCCTGGCAGGACCTGTCTCCCAGAATAAGCAGCACAAGATGCTTTCGATATTGCGAAAGGCTCGTCTAAAGGACAAGGAAATGCGCATCCTGATGCTGTGCGTGCCTGCACAATGCTGGGTTGGTCGTGGCGGACGCTGACAGCATCAGGGGCCTGGACAATGCGGGAAAGACGACCATTGTGAAGAAGATCATGGACGAGGACGTCAACAGCGTCAGCCCGACGCTCGGCTTCATCATCAAGACGATCGACTACGACGGGTACGTGGGACGAGCCTGGCTTGCAGTCGGCAACTAACCGGACAGCTACAAACTAAACATATGTATTTGGTCTGCCTGCTCGCGGACAGGCGCATGCTGACGCCACAGGGGACGTCGGGGGGCAAAAGACGCTGCGGACGTACTGGAAGAACTACTTTGAGAAGACGGATACGCTCATCTGGGTCGTGGACGCGACTGACCGGGAGCGCATCGACGACTGCAGACAGGAGCTGGCCGGGCTGCTGCTGGAAGAGGTGCGTGCAGGCATGATGCTTCAAGAGACGGGCAGCTGACATGAGCAGCGCCTATCAGGCGCCAGCCTGCTGGTGTTCAAGAACAAGAGCGATGTCCCCGGCTCCATGACGGAGAACGAGATGCGCGCGGTGGGTTTGGATTTGCGGCTGACAGGCTGACGAACATGTTGAGCCTGGCTGGCCGGCCCATGCAGCGTGCTAACGGGGTACAGGGCTTGCAGCTCGACGCCATCAAGACACACAAGTGGCACATCGTGGCGTGCAGTGCCATGACGGGGTTGAATCTGCAGCAGGGGCTGCAATGGGTTGTCGACGATGCAAAGGCGCGCCTGTTCCTGTACTGAGGGGCGGCGCCCAGGACGAGGACGCGGCATGGGGCCTATGGCTATGGGGGCGGTGCGGACGTGCCAGGGGCGACGCCGCCCGAACAAAGGCAAAGGGCAGATACGGGTAATAGTGCAGCAGTAGTCTCAACCACTAACATGTGGAGCTGGCGTCGCGGCTCGACGTCGACAGCATAAACAAACACGCCCCCAAGGCCGTCTCCACGACCTGCGTCTGCTGTTTTCTTCTCCATTCGTTCGCTTGCCCGTGCTGCTGCCCTCGCCCTCGCCCTCGCCGCCCTCTGCACCCGCATCCTCTGCCGCCGCGTCGTGGCCAAGCATGAGGTAACCGAGTCGCTGTAATTTGACGACCGCCTAGCTCCGAGATCCGCCTGCGAGGGATTCCCTTCACTGCCGAGCAGCCTCAGCCCCTGCGAGCAACTGCTGTAGCCCGAGTCTGAGTGCACTGGCCCGAGTCTGCCAGCCCACGCACTGCTCTCTCCACCATGTCGTCGGACGAGCCCAGGGAAGTCGACCCGTCCGAGTTCGTGCAGCGCATCCGGCGCCTGGGCGACCAGCGAGACCACGAGGACGCCGAGCGTGTCAAGAAGCTGGAGGAAGAGCTGCTCCAGGGCCGCAGCGAGCGACTAGCGCGGCGAGCAGGTTTGTTTTTCTGTTTTTTTCTGCTCTGCTCTGCTCCACGCCGGGCACCGGTGCTGACTGCCCTTTCCAAACAGAACGAGCCCGCTCAATTTCTCCCGACAAGCCATACACTCCGCAATCGCCACGCTCCGCCGCCGGCACCCCCAAGGCCGTCCAGGACAAGGCTGCCACGACGCCCGCGCCCACCATGAGCCCCCCAGCGCCCGACGCCGCCCGCGACGACGCTCTGCACCAGCTCACCAGCACCCCGCCGCCCATGGCCACGCTCGAAGACGTCGAGCCCAAGAAGCCCGCCGCCAATGCCGCTGCTTTGGGGCGCACCGGCACGCTGTCGTGGACGCAGAGACCCCAATCCGGCAGCATACGCCGCCCGCTCTCAATCGCATCGCGCTCGCCCGAACGGCCGTCTTCGAGCAATACGCCCGAGCCTTCGTCGCCCGAGCCCAGCATCTCAAGAAGCTCCATTGCGGCCTCGCTAGGCGCAAAGGACCCTGCCTTCTTCAGACAGACGCCCGACAACGGGAGAGGCTCCGCGGCGTTTAGGAAGAACCAGGACGACACCGCTTCTGAGACCGGGTCGGTGTCAGGCAGGAGGCAGTTGCCAGGCATGGCACGTGAGTCAGCCACGGAGCAAGACATTGGCAGCCCGCCGGCGGAGAGCGCACGCTCAAGCTCGCCAGGCTCACGGCGAGGCTCGGTCCGTGACAGCACCGTCATGAGCAACCGCTTTTCCAGCAACACGTCAATATCAGGTGGTGATTCAGAATCTGTGGCAAAGGGAAAGACGCCGCTGCCCACGATGGACTCCCAAAAGTTTGCTCCACCGTCTGAGCAGGGCTCCTCGGTCGACGGCGGGGACAACGATCGTGCGGCCCGCGGGCTTGCCATGTCACCAACCCAAGGGAGAATCTCGCCAGAGCGTGAGCGCTCTACGTCACCAACAAAGGGCATGGGTGGCTTTGTGCAGAGTGCCATGCTCAAGCGAAGCGACAGCGTAAGCAAGCGTTGGAGCACACAGACACCGCCTGGCCTGAGCAGACAGAATTCGTCACTGAGCAATCGCGGAAGTGTCTATGGCTCACTCTCAAATGTTGACCGACCTGTCTTGACTAGAGACAACTCTATAGAGCCATCCCGCCCCATGTCGAGCCATAGCAATGCAACCATCACTGGTACGGAAAAGGACAGCCCACTCAAGGACGAATTCGTCAAGCCAGCTTTGCCACGCCACAGCAGGGCCAAGTCAGTCGCATCGACTTTTAGCGAAAAGGACGCACCACAGGACGACACGTCTCCCCCGAGTCCCTCGAAGCGATGGAGCCCCACAAAATCAAGTTGGTTGGAGAGCGCCCTGAGCAGGCCAGAGTCTCCCAAGCCAAAGCCAAAGCAAGCTCCTCCCGCCCAACCCGCGTGGATGGCTGAGATCAACCGCATAAAGCAACAGCGTAGCAGCGTTGACCTGGGCAAAGGCAGTCCATTCGGTGAGTCTTCCGGATCTGGCCGAACATCACCCATCAAGGATATACAACTCAAGCCAGTGGGTCTCCGGCGCCCCGAGTCTCCCAAGAAAGAGGAGCCAGCTGAGCCTAAGAAGATGGAGACGCTCAAGGAGCAATCCCCGAGCCTCGCACCCGCGCTGGCGCTGAGGCCTCTCTCTCCTAAGAAGGAGGAGCCCAAGCCTCTAGAAAAGACACCGGCTCCTGAAGAGCCTGCACCCTCAGAAGACGCCCCTCAACAGACTCCCGATGAGGCGTCCATACCCTCTCCTACCAAGTCACCGACAGCCCCGTCGGCCACCGAAGAAAAACAAACGCCGGTAGATGACAAGCCCGTGGCCTCAAGGTTCGGTAAAGATATTGGCCGTAGTTCTCCAGTTGCAAAATCGGGGACGCCGCCACAGAAGGACTTCCGCGCTGGGCTAAAGTCACGTCAGCCGGTAATGGATAACTCAAAGAAAGACGAAGTCAATGAGTTCCAAAATGTCTTTGGCAGGCTAAGAAAGGCAGAAACGAAGAATTATGTTGCTCCCGATGTCCTAAAAGACAACATCACCAGAGGCAAGGAGGCTCTGAACATAACTGGTGGCCCCAAGCCTTCAGTCCGAAAGGATGAGTTCAGAGAGAGTCTCATCAAGAGGAAATCAACCATCTTTGATAAAGCTCAAGAGGAGGGTTCTACGCTGAAAAAGTCGAGCATCTCGAAACCGTCCACTCCCGTCCCCGAAGCTATCGCAAAGCAAAAGGGTCTGCAACGAAGAGACAGTGATGCTAGGGTAGTGCCTCCGCCCAAAGAGAAGGACCCTGTGCCGGAAGCGCTGGCCAGAAAGAAGAGTCTCGGAGCTATAAAGCCCATTCCCGAAACCAAGGACCCTGTGCCGGAGGCTCTGGCCAGAAAGAAGAGCCTTGGGGCTATAAAGTCCATTGCTGAAAACAAGGACCCTGTGCCGGAAGCTTTGGCAAGAAAGAAGAGCCTCGGGGCTATAAAGCCCATCACCGAAAACAAGACTGCCCAGCCTGCTCCCTTGTTTGCTAAGAAGGAACCAACCATGTCTGGTAAGCTGGCGGGTCGTTTCAACCCTGCTTTAGCTGGTATGCTTGCTCGGGGTCCGCCCCCGATGGCAACGGACAGATCTTCATCAAGTGCTGATGTAGAAACGTCCCCTACCAGGCCGGCGCAAGAGGAAAAGGCTGGGCCTGCACCAGAGCTGCAACATATGACCAAAGGTCGTGCTCGTGGACCCAAGCGAAGGGCACCGGCCTCGAAAAAAGCGACGACTGAATCGGAGAAGACTCAAGAGGAAGTGCCTCCTGCTACTACTGCCACTGCCGCTGCCGCCGCTGCTGCTCTCCCCTTGGTGAATTCCGAGCCTGTCCTTGCTAGCTCTGAGCCTCCTAAAACTAACGGACAACCAGAGGAGCGACCAGTAGCGAGGACGCCGGCTAGGCCGTCATCGATCGAGAAGCCTGCTATACCAGCCAAGTCACCGCGCGTTTCCTCAGGGAACTTCGGGAAAGCCTCTACCCCTGAGCTTCCAAAGAAACCAGACTCGCTGGAGCCAAATAGGAGAATTTCTGGGTCTCAAACTACCACGCCCAAGGCCTCGCCTCGGCCAGAGTCCATCGGCTCACCCAAGCCCTCGTCACCAGGGATTCCAAAGAAACCCACGTCCTTGGAATTCGAGAGAAAGGTGTCCGGATCACAAAATACATCGTCAAAGTCCCCACTATCAACACAGGTTGAAACACCAAAACCGGTATCGTCATCGCCATCTCCTCACTCTCGATTTTCACGTCCGCTGCCCACATTGCCTTCCAAGCCTGCAATAGCGGGTGCCAAATCGGCCCCAATAGGGTCGATTTCAACGCCGAACTTGGAGATCACGCAAGCCAGAGATGGTTCGTCGCCCGAAAAGATGACATTTTCATCAGTCAAGAACGCCAGTGCTCTGTGGGGTAGACCGTCTGCGCCTTCATCGCCAGCGCCACTCAGAGTAAAGTCACCGATCAAGCTTCCGACACAAGCAGACGAACAAGCTGCGATGAAGGATGCTGGTCTAATTCGCACTCCCGAGCCAGATGCAAAGGCTTTGCCCAGTCTCCCTCAGACTGAGTCGGAGTCGCCTGTCGAAGCGAAGCCGCTGCCGCCGAAGCCAAAGCCTATTGGACTGGGCTTCAGCTTAGGGAGTTTAGGTGGACTGGTAGCATCCCGATCACGTGAATCAAACCCTCAAATTCCCAGGGTTGTGCCCATGTCACCACCAGGAAGCGCAAATAGGCCGTTGTCCGAGCCTTCTATTGCATCGCCAACGGTGAAGAAGAACGATGGCATGTTTGCAGAGTTTTTTGATGAAGCCCCAGTGACCGAAGGCCAGCTACCAGAGCACATCGACACAATGCAAATACTAAAGTCTCCACCAATTGATCTGGGCCCCGCCGGAAAGGTCCGCACTCTACGCAAGCAGATAGATGAGGTGAGCGGCGATGGAAAACTTGCCCCTATTGCGCCGGCAGAAGAGCACATCTTGTTCCAAGACTCTATGTACCTGTGTACACATGTGTACGAAGACTCCAGAGGTGGCAAACATACCGATGTCTACCTGTGGGCAGGCAACAGCGTGGCAGAGCCGACAATAGAAGACGTTCAGCTTTTCTCAAAGAACTACGCACGTCAAAGTCAAGGCCGGTTGCTGGTCATTCGACAAGGGCAGGAAACACCAAACTTTTTCGAGGCTCTGGGCGGCATCGTCATTACCAGGCGTGGCACAAAGCCAGGATCAAAGGAGTTTATGCTGTGTGGTCGTCGTCACATGGGACACCTTGCGTTTGACGAGGTTGACTTTTCGCTCAAGAGTCTCTGCTCTGCTTTTGCTTATCTTATCACCACCTCGACAGGGAAAGTGTACCTTTGGAAGGGCCGCGGCTGCTCGGCTGAAGAGCTTTCTGGTGCACGTCTGATGGGTATGGACCTAGCACCCACTGGCGATTACAGCGAGATCGACGAGGGCGCGGAACCCCAGGATTTTCTGAGTAGAACCTTCCCATCCTCTCCAGTCCCGTCAAAAGGCCCTGCTATTCCCCGGTCGGCAGACCATTGGCGCTACAAAGCCACCTCGGATAAATACCGCGCGCGGCTCTACAAAGTGGAGCAAACGACGATACAGCAGGCAGGCTGGGGCCAGGCACTTCAGGTGAGCAGCTCTTTCTTTGCGCCGCTCCTACGAAGACCGTCTTGGAACGCTGCTGAACAAAGGCCACAGACGCCGCTCACGCCCAAGTCGCCTCAGGGTATTTTCAAGACGGAAGTCAAAGAGATTATGCCTTTCTCGCAAAGAGACTTGGAGCCGGAGAACATCTATGTACTTGATGCGTTCTTCGAGATGTACATGTAAGTTGTGTGTGGGCTTTACATGCGCCGTGAAGTCCGAAAAACTCCGTTACGTAGAAGGTGCTAATCCGGGGCAGCATCGTCGGCCCTTTGTCTCGTACTCAGGCGCCCGCATTTTCCACTGCACTGATGTTCGCGCAAGCTTACGGCATGCTTGCTGTCTCTGAAGAAGACCGTCCGTTTATGCCAGTTACGACGGTGGTACTCGAAGGTGTTCCTCGCGATATGAAGGTTCTGTTCCGGCACTGGGATGACAAGCTCATTCCTGCAGCAGGCCTGATGAGTGGAAAACTCGGAAGGGGGAAGAGCTTAAGGATTGTTGGTTTGGAGAAGGCCATTGAAGCCACACGGCGATAGAGTAGTCGCTCTCAACGCGCGGGCCTATGGTTGCGTTGCGTTGCGTTGCGTTGTTTGTTTGTGTGAAGGCGTTTCCCCGGTCTTGGCAGCACGCGGCATTTCTTGGTGTTTTTCGTTTATTATGCATATGTTGTGCCTGCTCATTTGGCGAGGCTCATATCCGATTGGCAGAGCGGTTTACGGTATCATTGCGGGATCGCCATTTTGGCAAAATCATACCCGGGCACCGTGCTCACGCGGAGCACTAGACATGAATTGATTTACTTACAGCCATCTACGATCACGGACTCCGGTTTGCAAGACTACGTAGGCACTTTAAATTGTTCGTGACGGCGGGCAAACAGCACGGTCTAGAACCCACCTAGACGCTTATCCGCGCGACCAGGAAGCCATGGACAAACATGTTCTAGAAGAAGATGGGAAATGAGTGACGAGGCTGGAGTGGATAACATGGCGTTTCACGGGCACCACCAAGATAGGCCTGACCGCGCCGCGGCCTTGTTCCTCCCAAAGCGATGGACTAGCCTTCTACACCGAAATTTCCAGACGGCATCGACGCTATTTGGGCGGACCTTGAGCCTCGATGTGTACATGTTAGTCTGCTTGCGGAAGTGCCAACGGAGTTACGAGTCAGAGGCATTTCGGAAGCATCGTAGCCGTCGCTTGGCGCGTAGTGGTTTCATGTTCATGAGAGCCCACCAAGGCCGGAAGAAACATGAAACGGAAGCGGGCCAATGCTCTGTGCTTGTTTCAAGGCGCCTTGCAAGACGCTGGCAGGCAGATTGGGTGGCAAAAATCCGACGGCGACGACGTGACGCTGGGCGCGAGGGTGCAAGGAGGGCATGCTGGATAGTGTACAGTGCGTGTTAACAACAACACACATGGCCATAACAGCCTCGGCACCATTTACCCCTCACTCGTATATCCAACAGGTCATGTGCAATATCGCCATTGGACTTTACCGTCGAGGTGCACAGGCCGGAGCACGCGTTTGATCTGGCAGGCTAGCAAGAAGGTTGCGCGACGGGTCTCCCGCTCTCGATAATTCGCCATGCGCACGACACTCCCGCTAATCTAAGATTGGGTACAACACCACTTCATTTGCACGCAACACGTCAGTGCATGACAGTATAACCACCGGCACGTCGTGCACATTGACAAGGCCAGCCCAAGCGGTCTAAGCCTCCCAAGCCTTTTGCCGAGGGAAATAAGCATGACGATTGATAGTACCCTCCTGCACCACTCAATCTCCTGGCTTCCCCACAAAATCGAATATGTCTGACTCGTGGCTTAACGGGCTTTGATTGACTGTAGGGGTCACTACTTGCTTCAGGCTGAGGAATGCGGGATAGTGCGCATGCCAGCAGCAGCACCGACTGCGCTCATTGGCGGTAGAGTGATCACGACGCCCTGAGCAAGGCGGCCAGGTCCTGGACAATAGGAGGGTGGCTGAATGCTGGTGCGCAGGGACCGAAGGGCGCTCGAGATGGCGGATGAAACGACTGCAATATGTTTTGGTGCCATGAACAACGCGGCTTTTTACCCGTCCATCACTATATAGATGGTTGCTCCCAAGGCAGAAACTAATTCCTCATCAAGCATCACACCTTCACTTCTTCACTCCCTTTTTTACAACAACAACAACAACAAACAAAACAACAACAAAACCACCAACCCACCACTCTTTCTTGAGCAACTCAAAAATCATCAAAATGGTTGCCATCAGCTCTCTCCTTCTCGGCATCTCCGCCATCGCTGGCTCTGCCATCGCAGCCCCTACTGCCGACGTCCCTGACTTCGAGCTCAACACTGAGAGCAAGGCTCTCATTGCCCGCCAGGACTACAACCAGAACTACAAGACCAGCGGCAACGTCCAGTTCAGCCCCACCAACAACGGATACTCGGTCACCTTCTCCAACGCCGGTGACTTCGTCGTTGGAAAGGGATGGAAGACCGGTACTACCAGGTAAGCGCTACTCACTCTCAACTCTTGATTCTACTCGTTCATTCATACTAACCCATCCCTACAGGAAGATCAAGTTCAAGGGTTCCACCAAGGCCCGGGCCGGCACTGTCCTCGTTTCCGTCTACGGATGGACCACCAACCCCCTTGTTGAGTACTACATCCAGGAGTACACCTCCAACGGCTCTGGATCTGCTCAGGGCCAGAAGATGGGCTCTGTCACTTGCGATGGATCTAGCTACGACATCTGGAAGCACACCCAGGTTAACCAGCCTTCCATTGTTGGTACCACCACCTTCACCCAGTACATCAGCAACCGTGTGAACAAGAGGCCCGGCAGCGGCACCGTCACCACCTCGTGCCACTTCGACGCCTGGGCCAAGCTCGGCATGAAGCTTGGTACCCACAACTACCAGACTCTCTCCACCGAGGGCTGGGGCAACGCCGGCGGCAAGTCCCAGTACACCGTCTCCGGCTCGTAGATTGCTGGCTACGAACACCACCACTAGATGGGGCACACGAAGCAGTATGATCTACGCCTTCTGTTTCTTCACTCAAGTCAGGGCTGGGATACCCTCTGCTCGCGCAATTTCAACTGAAGAAAGAGCCAGGTGCTTTGGTCGCGGGGGAACAAAACTTTTCATCAAGCAGAGCTTTGTTGTTGTTGTTTATCTTTTTCACTTCTTGGACATTCTTATTCTACTCTTTTTGGTTTGCTTTTGTACGGGTCTTGACACACCCTTACAATGTATATACTGCACACATAAAAAAAATCCTCCTTTGGGATTTGGCAATCTTTCTACTAGCTAGAAATTCCAGATTCTTGACATAAACTCTCTCTTGATCCCTCTACTCTTCTCGTGAACATGATGATTGACGCTCTTGATGCCAATAAACTTGGCGGCCTTGGGTGAATCATAAAACAAGAAAATCAAGACATCGCCACTGTGCCTTGTTCCATATTGCCAAGTGATGCTTGGATGGCTTGTGGTCATTTGGGGCGTAGACAGGGATATTGATTGCACCTTGACACCCCCTGTTTCTTTCCTTAGTGGATACTGGATAAATTGACGTGACAGTCCGGGAGCGGTGTGGCTTGCGAGGGGGTGTGGTTAGTAACGTGTTCGACTTGGAGCCTAAATTGACGGATCCTGACGGGCCGCGGGTCGTTCGTCTGGGGCCTGGATGTGTGAAATCTTGAAACGGGGGTGCATGGCTTGACTGAGCCACACTGCGCAGAACTGTCTATTGGTGGGAAGGGGGGTGGACATCCTACGTAGTTAACGTCTAGCTTCTTCCTCGTATTCGTCGATTCCTGCCGCATCTTGATTCGCGGATTTGTTTCGAATCTGCTCAATAGCATTGTGCCGCTAGTGGTGTGAGTACTGTATTGATGAGTTTTTCCGGTGCAAATCATCCAATAGCGAGTAGTGAAATACACATAATGTGCAGGCGACAGCAGATATTCATCGGTGCACATGTTTGCATGTAGATAGGCTTACGTCATTGTCTACGTATGCACGAAACGCTCTACATACAAACCAGTTGCCATACTGTATGCAGCTATTGATGAACAAAGTTCGCTGTAGATTGAATGTGTCTCAGCTCTGATAGCTGTTGTGTACACAAAAAAAAGGGGTGGCGAGACGGGATCTGAGTCAGGGGTGACGCGGTGTTACCTGTAATATAATCTCCTGGAAACACAACATCGTTCCCAACGACTTGATTATCGTGGATTCCGACCTGTCTAACGTTCGATATGGGGGCTGAAGCGCTGACCATGTTCTGCCATGCTGGGCCTGGTATCTGTATTTCTCCGTCTGGGTACAGCACAGGTCCTTTGCAATGGCAGATGCTCCGCAGGTAGTCTTCGCACAGTCTCATCTTGAAGTCGATCGAACCCAAGAACAACCCCACTCAGTTTGTGCATATTATCAAACCCCTGAGCCGTCTCCGATCCACTCTCCTGAACCGACTAAGGCTGCCGCTGCGCAAGATCAAATCACCGATACGGCAGCATTGCAGGTCTCCAGGGTTTTGGGACTGCGGCGAAAGCACTTCTGGACGCTATTCAGTGTCGCAATTGTATTAGTCGTAGGGACTATAGGCGGAAGCGTAGGTGGTGTGTTGGCAGTGCAGAACGCGAGGTATGGCGACTTGCAAAGACTGGCCACTGAAGCGCCACTGACAATGTGGGCAGTGCTCAGGATAAGGCTGTGATATCTTCTACTGCTACAGATATCAGTTCCTCAAACATATTTCCAGTCAACACCTCCAAGGATGTGACTGTAGCAGCCTCGTCGACCGTCACAGACAGTCCGACTTCTTCCTCGACATCTCCCGCTGCCACGCCCACAATCGACAACTCATGTCCGCAAACGCTGAGATCATACAACAGCAAACTATACGACTGCATAGCCAGGAGGAATGCGAACGAGGTTGGCGATATCATCGCCATGCTGGCGTACACGATGCAACAGTGCGTGGACGCTTGCAGCAACATGAACATCATCGCAGGCTCTGTGAAATGCCGAGCAGTCGCCATGACAAATGGCCTGGACTATGAGTATCAAAATAATATAGCGGCGAACTGTTGGCTGAAGAGTGCATCGCAGCCAAGTCAGCAGTGGGATAATGCGACTCTTGCTGTGTTGATTGCAGACGGGGCGTAACGGGCGGAAATACGGAGCACGTGTGTAGAATATTGAGATTCGTAGTCGGCGTGTCATCTGAGTCAACTGCCTCTTGAGCCATTTACCCCATCATGGCTACTCTGCAAAAGTTCGGAAACCCCTACCCGAAAATGACAGGCAAAAATAGAGAGCTGGTGTGACTTGATGTGGTGGTTCGTGGTCATTGCCAAAGGCGAGAGTTTGGTGGTCCGTGGGGGCGCTAGGCCTAAAACAACTGCTCGCTTAGGTAGAAGTGTGCACGACGAAATAATCGAATCCCCGATTTCGAGACTTCTCACGACAACCTCCTACTCACAACAACACCGTCGCCATGGGTAGGGTAATTCGCAACCAGCGTAAGGGTCGCGGATCCATCTTCACGGCCAACACCCGCCTGAACAAGAACCCCGCCCAGTTCCGCACGCTCGACTACGTACGTTTCCGCCGCCCGCGACCCACGGCAAAATTGGACACGCACACTGCGAACGGAGGGCTAACGGGCACAGGCTGAGCGCAATGGATACATCCGGGGTGTCGTAAAGGAGATCGTCCACGACTCCGGTCGTGGTGAGTAGCCAGCTTGCGGATGCGTGGATTGGGAACTCCCATTGACCATTTTTGAACAGGTGCTCCTCTTGCCAGGGTCTCTTTCCGCAACCCCTACAAGTTCAAGCACAACACCGAGACGTTCATCGCGAACGAGGGCATGTACACTGGCCAGGTCAGTTTTTGGGTCCTTTTTTGCTCCAGGCGCGGGGGAACAGCAGACTGACATTGAGCCAAGTTCATCTACGCCGGAAAGAACGCTGCGCTCACCATCGGCAACGTGCTCCCCCTCCACTCGGTCCCCGAAGGTACCGTCCTCACCAACGTCGAAGACAAGAACGGTGACCGTGGTGCGCTCGGTCGTACCTCTGGTAACTACGTTACTGTCATTGGCCACAACCCCGATGAGGGCAAGACCCGTGTCAAGCTCCCCTCTGGTGCCAAGAAGGTTCTCCCCAGCTCATGCCGTGGTATGGTCGGTATCGTCGCTGGTGGTGGCCGTACAGACAAGCCCCTCATGAAGGCGTCGCGCGCCAAGCACAAGGTATGCATGATTGATGTAGAGTGCTGGAACGCATTCGCTAACAACGGTGATAGTTCGCTGCCAAGCGCAACAGCTGGCCCAAGACTCGTGGTGTTGCCATGAACCCCGTCGACCACCCTCACGGTGGTGGTAACCACCAGCATATCGGTAAAGCCTCGACCATCTCCAGATACGCCACCCAGGGTCAAAAGGCCGGTCTCATTGCCGCGCGGAGGACAGGTCTGCTCCGTGGTACCCAGAAGACAAAGGACTAGAGTGGTTGTCTGTGATGTGGCGGCGTTTGGCAACGACAGGAACGACGATGATGCGGTCGGTTATTCTCTCCATACCTCTCTGTGCGGGTGGCCGGGCGTTCTTACGAAATGGAAACTTGTCGGCAAGCTAGGCTTTTCCCTACTATGGCTTGCATGCATGATAGGTTCTTAGGGAATGTGATTCCGATAAAAATGCATCTGGTCTGTACTTCTGAAGCGTGCTTGATATGATTGAAGCTTCTGGTGGTAATTGCATGAAGACTTTACTACACTATGCTCCGCCCATCTCAACGTCTTGGTCTTGGTGGCCCCTTTTGTCTCCGTCATTTCCATCGTCAGTGTCGCTGTCGCTGTCGTCACCCCCTGCGCCACCCTTGTTGCTATCCCTCTTCTTCTTGACCCTGAAATCCATATCCAGCACCCGGTAATGCTTCCTGTCACTACCCAAGACCACAATGACTCTCCTGTTCTTTCGCCCATTTACCACCAACCGAAGCGGCGTAAACCGCCCTTCAAATACATGTCGCGTGTACTTGTCCACACTCTCAGGCGTAACGCGGATAACGTGTCGTGCGGCGGCCGCCACCGCCTCGCCGTGAGGAAGCAGGGTGGCCGCCTGTGCAGCAGAAGCAATAGGCTCATACGAAACGAGCTGTTTATGGTGTTTATCTCCCGCCGGGGAAGGCGACTCCAGTCGCGCATACGGCAGCGACACAATGACATTTTGATGCTTGCGGTCCGAGTGCGAGCGCTGCAGGAGAAGCAATAACGTGGTGTCGTCTGCGAATTTGGCGTCGAGCAGCTTTGCAGATGGCGAGGAGGTGGAAAAGTCGAGCGTGCAAAGGGCGTGAGCGTACAGGTCGCGCGGGAGATGCGATATACTGTGTGCGTGGGTGAGGCGGTGGATGTGCAGGCGTGCAGGCGTGGATGGCGAGGCGAAGAGAATGTATGTTGATATGGTGTCTGGGGCTGGTTCGGGAGAATGCTGGGGAGAATAAGGTGGGTTAGTACATATAAAAGAGTTGGTGTAGGGTGTTTGGGACGAGGGCGGAAATGGGCATGAGAGACGTACCTCTGGTACCATGCGCATGTCCAAGACAGTCGTGTTTTCGTCTCCGTCGCCGAGTTCTTCAAGCACAAGGCCAGAGTCCATCTGGATGTTTGCTTGCTGCCATTTGCTGACTTGCTTGAGCAGGCCCGTCACGCCCGTTGCCAGGTGCGTGAGCACGTGTTCCAGACAGAGGGCTTCTTCCTTGAAGGTTGCGCCCTGTTTCAGCAGTTCAATCGCCTTCTTGGTGTCTTCGTAGCTGGACGCTTCGTTCTCGCGACTCTTGGCATCGAGCTGGGCTTCTGGTTGCAAATACGGAGTGAGATCGGATTTGGTCAGGCCATACTGGATGTATGCAAGGACCTGCGACACGTCGACGCCGGGGTCCCGTTGTTCCATCTCCATGCGCGACTGTGACTCTGGCTCTGTAGCCTCGAAATCAATCGTAAAGCGCAGCCACTTGCTGAAGCTGTAGAACTGGCGTTTCTCTTCGGATGCGTACAGCATGGCGGTATGGGCTAGCAGCCTCATGTTTTTCAGCGTTTCGAGAAGAGCAGAGAAGTCGGTAATGGGGCCGCTGAAGATCCAGTCGCGGTCGTGGAACTGTGCGAGACCTCGCAGCCGTGATATGACAATGGAGCAACGGTCTAATGCTGGAATGAGGTTCTCGTGGAGAAGGGCGAGCAGTGTGGTGAAGGATGTCGTGACGGTCGTGTCCCAGCGCTTGTGGCCTGCTTCTGCTAGCTCATCAACAAGCCATTCCTTCATTACCGGATTACAGTTTCCTGTACACGCTATATGGAATAGATTTGTGACCAGGTCGCCCAGGCCCTTCTCTTCAAGTGTTTCGCTAATGTTCATCATAAACTTGCGGGGCAGATCTTGCGCGTGTTTGAAGAAGGCTCGCACGCGTTGCAGGGTTTGCGTAATATATAGAAGAAGGTTTTGTAGTTGCGATGTCTTCGCCGCGATGAGATGCAGGTAAATTCCTGCTGTTGGTATGAAATTCAAGGTAAGAGGGATGAATGCAAGACTCTTCTTTGCTGGTGAGGCGGTGGAAGTGGTCTGCATCAAAAGGTTGTGCGTGCAGCTGTATGGATGGCTTGTGTGCAGCAGCGGCGTATGTGATGCGTTCCATGCTTTTGGTAGCTGGACATTTACAGTTTCCAGAGAATCGTAGATGGATGGATGCACGGTGCCCCGGTCTGACAAGCGGATGAACATATGGACAGAATTGTGGTCTTTCAAGTGGTGCGAGTGAAGCAACGAATCCACCTCGGCTTGGGAGCTAAACGCTCCAGAATCTGCCTGCGAGACGCGCATGAATGGTAATGCTGGCGGCAGCGGTATTGCAGGAAGCTTGGGCAGCAGCGCTTCTGTGTCCATCATCGCGAGTTGGTCAGGCAGATCGGGCGCAATGTCCAACGTCTGGAGATCGGGCTGTCGCTGCAAAAAGTCTTCCAATGTTGTGTCATCCTTGAAAGCATCCCAGTCTTCCGTCGTAGGGTTCCCAAAGACATCAGTCTGCTCAGGGGCGGCGCCGTTCTTCTTCGATGTCCAGCCCGTTCTCTTTTTTACAGCCTGAACATCAATAAAGTTCAGACCCCAGCCTATACATTTAACCCGCGCGGGTGCCTCCTCTTCAGTCATGCTACTGCCCCCTCCTTCCACTTCCGGCAGCATGACATCCTTATGCGTTACCTTGCCTGTTTCCGCGCTAATGAGATCGGTGCTCCCATTGCTCCAACTCACCGCGATACTCTTGCCATTGAATTCCCACTGCATCGCATCAACACGCACATCCTCGCTCTTTCTCTTGAGGCCAAAGGCTCTTTGGCCGTTGATTCTGTAGACGTCTAGGTTCTCTTCATCCGTGACCACGGCCACCAAGTCCATGCTAGGGCAGTAGGAGATGAGATGCGGGTGAATTGGATGCAGCAGAATTTTCTCTGCCTGCTGCAACAGCTGAGGCGCTTGGGTCGAATTTTTAGTCGCCATGGCTGTGGAATGGTTGGCCTCGAGGGCCGTTGTGCGACAGGTCAATGAGGGTGATGGTGATTTGTTTGCGGATGCGCGTTCTAGACCAAAGCTGACTAGCGCACCCGCGCGTTGTCACGTTCCAAGTCAGCTCACGCCTAGCCATGTCAAAGAAGATGCGGGGCAATGCTGTGGTGCTCGGCATTCTGACACTACCGTTACCGTCTGTCAACGGCTCACTCATTGCGGTTCTATATTTTGGGGGATACGAATGATTCCTATTCATACACAAAAGAAAATGATACCCATATATCGCCGGGATTCCTCTGGGTATCCAATGTCATGCTGTCATAGTACAAGTACAAGTGGCTGGCACCTTTAGCCCAGGTGCCCCTTTCCCAATTTCTCTAAACAATACCTCAACAACCGATAAACGCCACGATGCGATGTGATGCCTTGCGCAAACCATATCTATCCCAAAGAGGCGAAGTGGGCAGAATGTTCCCGTGGGCGGCTAGATTAGCAAAGGCTTCTATGCGCCCACGCCCGCCATGCTCTGCCTCTTTCTATCGACGCGACGAATTATTCCTCTTGGGCTGCACAGACTCTTTCTGGACACGCCCTCGGCCTGTGCCGCTTAGTCTGCCGTTCAATCGCGTGTCTTCGTCAAAGCTGGTTCGCTTTGCGTTTCGACCGCTTTCAAGGTCATCGTCACTGTCGGCGAGGTCGCTGAGCTCGAATTGGTTCTCGGCATCATAGTCGTGCATCAGCGCGCTTCGGTCACCAGCATCCGCATAGCTCGACCTGCTGTTCCTGCCAGACCTGCTGTTTCGGGCAATGCCCATCGACTGGCGCTCAAAAAGATCTTCGCTGCGTCGCGATTGCATGCTGCGCCTTGTAGGGAATCCAGAAATGGCATCGGATGGGGGGCCGTCGGTGAATCGGGAGCCGAGTGACTGGTTGCCGTTGGGATCTTCGCGCGAAAGATTGAGAAGGTATACACCGGAAAAGATAATAAGGAAACCACAAAGGAGAGACACAGTGTTGACTGTAGATGTAGTGTTGAACCCCTGGAACAAGAGGCATGAAGCAACCAGAGTGCATGTCGTAAAAGTTACATAGTAGAGGGGGTTTACACTACGTCGCACGTGTCAGCACAAGCAGCCGAAACGTCGCAGTTTTGAGACGTACATGTTTGTGGAAAACTGGCTCAGCGCCTTGTTGAAGTAGTTCATCTGAGTGAGGATACAGCCCAAGACCAGGATGACGAAGACATACGTCGAAGGATGCGTGAATTGGTTGTTGCCCGCAAAGGTCATCTTGAGCGCAATGCCGAAAGCCTTGATGAACATGATGGAGACGGAGCCAGACGTGGAGCAGATGGAAAGGTAGATGAGGGGATTCTTGCGACCGTACTTTGGCGCGATCTTGTAGATCATGAAGACGCAGAAGACGATGCAGAAGGCGCAGTAGAAAAGGAAGCCTGTGTTTGGGAGTCTTGTTAGTTGTTGTTGGGCATGCAAAAGTACAGCAAAAGGCGACGTGGGCGTACCAGGCTGCAGGGCGAGGTTCAGGATCTCCTCAACCGACTGGACCTCCTTGTCGGGCGGCGCGTGGAGCACGATAATGACGGAGCCGATGAGACATATCGCGCAGCCAATCTTGCCCAAGAGTCCCAATTGTTCGTCCAAAAAGTATGAGCCGAGCACGGCGCCGATGAGAACTGAGAGAGCTCCAAGGGGGGTCACGAGGATGGCGGGCGCAAACGCGTAGGCGGCGAAGTTGAATATCTCGCCTAGGACCACTGTAAGGAGTCAGCGCTGCACGTCACCAAGGGCCAGGATGTAGGCGTGCTGACTGGTTATGATGCCCGCCCACCACACCGGGTTCTGCAAATATCCGAAGCCGTCTCCGTTGAAGCCATGCTTCTCGATGGAGGCATTGAGGCCCTTTTTGGTGATGACAAAACTCGCGCCGATGGCAAGGGAGGAGCTCATGGCCAGCATGAGTCCAATGTATCTGGCGTCACAGTCAGTCGCCCGTCGGCCGTGCTTTTGCTGGCGGCGCTGTGCCGGCGCACGACGACGTACTTGTCTTCCACCATGGCGGCGTGTGTGTATGTGTGGAGGCCTATGCGACCTGTCTGGGGGGGTTCGGCAGCCAGAGCAGAGGGGGCGGGTGTCAGTGTTGAGGCGCGCAGAGGGGTGTGTGTGCGTTGGGGGAAGCTGCGAAGCTGCGGAGTGCCGCGTTGACGTTGTGCTGCGCTGCGTTGCGTAGCGCTGCGTTGCGTAGCGCTGCGTTGCGTAGCGCTGCGTTGCGTAGCGTACTCTTGGTAGCGTAGCGACAGCGGCGGCGGCGGCGGCTTCGGCTTGGGTGCGTGTGGGCTATCGATAGCGTCGGTCTCGTGGCCTGGCAAAGGAAGCAAGCCAAAAAGGAAAAAGCAGCGAGGCGGCGGGCGGCGCGTGACTGCGACTGCGACTGCAGCCGGGAATGGAACGGTGGTGGTGGTTGTGGTGGACGAGTGGATGCAACGCAGGATGCGTGCTGGACATGTAGCAGCGGCGGTGCAGGCCGGGGATGCTTTGGCAAGAAGAGGCGGTTCGTGTTTCACCAAACGCTTGTTCGTGTGCCTGTCTGTGCCTGTGCCTGTGGCTATGCCCGGAGCCTGGGGCCTGGGGCCTGTGCCTGCTGGGCCAGATGCAGGATGGCGATGGCGGATGGCGGATGGCGGATGGCGGATGGCGATGGCGGGACGAGGCTGCTGTCTTGTGAAGCCGCGGTCCAAATGAATGTATGCACGCCAGAGGCTGCAGGAGCGAGCGGACGGGCTGCAAGAGGAGGCGATGAATGCACGCCCGCAGTAGCAGCAAGCGAAGGCGGGTTTTGTTCCCTGACTTGGCCCAGCAGCCAGCGCCGCCAAGGGGAAGCGTCTCGATCCTCCATCGCTCGCTGTCTTTCGCAGCGTGGCGTGCCACATCTGTCGCGCCAGCTTGGCCAGTCAGCCCATCTCAACGTCTCACGGCTGGGCGGCAGCGGCTGGTCCGTTGGCGTCAAACTCAATGGCTACCCGCTCCCCGTCGCCGTCCCCCTCGCCGCCCCCCTCGCCGCCCCCCTCTCCTCCCCTCAAACTGCCCCCTCCCCCCCCCTCTTTGGTCTCGACGCGCTGCTGCCAGGGCCGGAGCTTGCCGATCACGTCGTCAGACAGGCCACGCGGCGTCTCCTCCTGCAATATTGCGCCGTCATTACCCCCCTCCCCCATGCCCACGTCGTTTTGCCTGTGCGCCTGCTTGCGTGCCTGGCCTGCCAGTGACGTGCATCTCCAATTGCCGAAAATCGCCCTGCTTACTCTGTCCGCTTCCGGAAGCCCGTCGAGATATAGTCTACGGGCTGCGCCTCGCCAGAGCCTATCGAGTAATCTCAAAATAGCATGCCTCGTAACCCTCGTACCCCCGTCCCCACAATATGTAAAAAAGAATAACAACGCCTCCCGCGCTCAGACTCTTTTCACGTCATCACAAAACAATCTCCAAGGGGCCCCGGCCCGAAGCCCACTTGGTGAGGCACAGCTGACGAACCATTACCATTTGCAACTAATCACCTCGCCACTGTCACTGCACACTCGGAAAATACTCTTCTCATTCAACCCCGCGCCCTAGCAACATGCCGACGCGTATCCTGCAAAGCGCCCCAAGGCGCTGGGTATATGGCTCAAAATCCCTTCAAACTCCTTTCCTTCCTCCACCACATAGATGCCCATGCCACCCTCAAAACAAGCCTCGTGTGCCTGACTGCTCGCTCTACAAATAAAGTGCCGCTAAAAGGGGAAAAAGCACCGCTCGCAGAACAATCCGCGTCGTGGCAGGGGATGATACTAGGAAACCGCCCGACACTACCTTCCTCTTACCTTTTGGTGGCCGCAACCTAACACCTCTCTCAACCCTCAACATCCCATGGCGCGCCCTGTCTAGCAATATCTGTTGGTAGTATCTGCCTGCATTAGTTCAAGCGCGGACACGCTCCACACAAAAAAGTGCATACAACTGCTCGTTAGTACATCGGAAGACCCAAAGACTCAGAGGACGGAGCGTCTTCACACTCGGGCGCGCTTAGCGTCTGCAAACAACAAGTCAGCCTTGGCCTTTCGCTTGCCACCAAACCACTCCAACATACCTATAGAGTCGGGTGCAATATCCATTCCATATCCAGCCTCGTCGATAGATCGCTTGTGTCCTTGTGAGGACACATCATAGACATCGGTAGACGAGGCCGTCGTAGGATCTGCAGCCGGAGACGTTGCGTTGGCCGGTGGTGCAGCCCCACCGTCCTCTTCACCTTGGGCGTCGCCATCATCGTGCCCAGTGGTCGTGTTCTCAAGAAAGTCTTGATCTAGCTCCTGGTCCACCGTCCACTGTGCGGGGTCCAGCTCCAGGAAATCGTTCGCTTCGGTAAAGCCCTCTCCACCATATGCTGTAGCGTCTTCGCCACCATTGAACTCTTCTCCGTTGGCGAGTTCCAATTCGGCCTGTTGCTCCAAGTCCTGGTACTCGTATTCGCCGTAGTCTTGGTTAGCGTCGCCGTCATATTGAAAATCTGCTGCTTCTTTGCCCACTTCATCCGCTTCAAATCCATCAAAAGTGCCCCCTCCTTCGGGAGCCTGAACGTAGTCCTGGTATGCTTGCTCATCTTCGTTGCCTTCAGCCTGGCCGTGTTCAGCTGCAGCGTCGGGCTCCTCGGTGGTATCAAGGCTGGTTTCGTCATGCTCTGCATTCGCTGGTTTGCTAGTAATCGGTGATTCTGCAATGGATGACTGCCTCTCCGCGTTGGAAGACTCGTCGCCTTGGACAGTGGTAGGAGACGGTGGTACCTCGGTATGGGATGCCTGCTCTGCCACCTCGACAGTATCAGATTCCTCATCCTCCTCATCACTGTAATCAATAATGTCGCCTTGCTCTTGTAAGCGACGAGCCTCCAATTCGGCCTCGGTCCGCTCATCAGACTGTGACTGTGCCGGTTCAGGGTATTCCACAACCTCCGGTGGGTTTGTAGAAGCTTCACTAGAACTAGGAGCCGGTGGCACATGGCCTTCACCCTTGTCCTCTTGGTGGCCTTCGCTGGACACTTGCTCGGTCTCAACCACAGCCGCTGCCGCTGCCTCTTCGTTCTCGTGAATTTCCACACCCCCTTCCTCGTGAGCGTCTTGCGAATCATCACCTGACTCGTGATCGTGCTCATATCCGCCATCTTGCTGGGACTGAGTTTCCACATAAACCTGTTGTTCATGTTCAAATTCAGCTTGATCTCCCATCTGAATTGAAACCTCGGCTTCTTGCTGGATCTCGTCTTCTGCGTGATTTTGCTCCTTTTCATTCTCCACATCTTCTGGGTTGCTCTGGTTTTCCTCATGCTCCCGCTCGCTCGCATGTCTTTCGTGCTCACGCTCCTCGTCATCCACATGCTCTTGATCCTGATTCTCATCTTGACTCTGATCCTGCTCTTGTTCTTGTCCATCGCTTTCCCACTCGTTGAGATTCTCAACAGGAAGAGAAATGGATGCGCTGTTAAAGTGAGTCTCGCCTGCAGCAATAGCTGCTTCAAGGCCAGAGTAGCCACGACCCTGATCAGCGCATCGGGCAATGTCTGCGAGCAAAGTGGCGAAGCGTGGGCGATACATCAGTGTTATGTAGAACGAATCTGGCGTGTTGTTACCATCTTGTGCATGGAGCGAATGGTAATAGCTCAGCAGGCGTTCGAGCGACACGGCTACACATGCCGTGTTCTCCTCAAACAGCTCCATGTTCTCGAAGTGCTCAAAGCGAAAGCCAATCTCCATTCCCTGTAATGCTTCTTCTCCAACAGCCGAACGGCATGCTTGAAAGAGAGTCGACAGGCTCGCTTTGACCACTGAAATGTCTTCGAGGAGCCAGTCTCCGCTATTCTCATAGTCATGCTGCTTGAAGAGCCATAGTTCTTCGCCCATCCAGTTCACAGTAACAGGCCGTAGCTCAAATGAATCATCTCCCTGGTTTTCACTGTCTTGAACATGTTCATGGTGATCTTGACTCGGATGCGCCACGTCGCTGTGACTGGTCTCGGCACTTGCATATTCTTCTTGGCTTTGGAGCATAACACCGCCCTCACCATCAGTCTGGACGTTTTCCCTGCTGGGGTCTGCCGACTGGGGCTGCGTTGGAGACTCATGATTGTTGGCTGACGGACTGGCCTCGGGAACGTTTTCAGGGTGGGCAAGTGGACTCTGTGATTTTCTGTTCGCGGCCATGGTCATTAGAGCTTGTAAATCAGCAGGTATCTCGTCTTGCTGAGTAGATGCATCTTCCTGCGCAGACACGTCTTCCTGCGCAGGTACGTCTTCCTGAGTAGGCATGTCTTCTTGTGTAGGTATGTCTTCCTGAACAGGTACATCCTCATTCTGACCAGGCATCTCCTCAGTCTGATCAGGCTCGTCTTCCATAGAATCATGATGTTGCTGCCAAGGAGAACCAAGGACTGTGTCCTCGTTGCCATCTTCCTGGTCGGAATAGTCAAGTAAATCTTCATCTTGGATTTCCTCTTGCGTCTGGGTCGCCATATTATCCGCTGCAACAGACTGTTCGGCGATTGTGTCGCCGTCATCATCTCGGTAACCATAATCTTCCTCAATGACGTCCTCTTGGTCAACCATGTAATCATCGTTGTCGCCGCCGGCTCCAGCCTGGGCATCCATTCCGCTCACTGAGGCCGCATCGTTGATAGAGACGTCATCGTCGGGACCGTAAGAGGGGGGAGGCTCTAGATCTAGATCGATGTCACCGTCGTTGTATTCGAAGGCGCCATTGTCAGAGTGCAGATCCATGTCATCAGCGGGGGTGATGTCGACACTAGGCGTAGGATGTGTAGCGGTAGCCATGATAGGGATCGGGTGGTGTCAAAAGGGGCTTGCGGGTGGGTTGTCGGTCGGAAACGCGTAGATAAAAGGAGCGTGGGGAGCGCGTCACAGCTCGGTGCAAATCACAAAGTGGCAATGCGCAACACCGTTACGCGAGCTCAAGAATGTGTGCACAGTGTCAGGTCAAAGCTAGTGTCGCATGGCGGAGCGTTGGCAGGCTGCTGTGCAGTCGTAGAGATCTGGGCTGAGTGAGAATGAAAAGGATTGCTTGGAAATGAGACAAAGACCACAGAGTGGTGGCCACGCTAGGGCGGGAAAGTCTGGTGGCGGAAACGGGCAAGTGGCGGGCAGATGGGTATGGGCGTTTGATAAACACAGGCAGACAAACTCGAGACTGCTGGACTCTTTGCGGGATCGTCTTTGCGCGACAGTATGAGCAGGCAGAAGAAGGCGCCGAGATGCGAGTCTTGTAGTGAAAGAGCTGCGGGTGCTGGTGAAGTGGCACGGAGCCAGAGGCTACTTGGATGCGGAATCGGCGCTAGGCAAACGCAAGCTGCACGTGACTCCAGGTGTCCACTTGGAACCTCCAGGTGTTGCGACGGGTGAGGTTGCATTCTAGGAGAAGTCCTGGCCACCAAGCATACAAAGACAATTCAACGTGTCTTGCTGCCTGCTTTGGCTGCCTCTGCCCTACTTCCTGGAACCTGTCGCCAAGGCACACTTGCGTTCCTGACATCTTTCCGTCTCGATAATATTCCCCACCACCTGCAGCAACGCGGCTTCACGTCTTCAAGTCCACGGCCCATCCCCACGAAACCACCACTTTCCAGTCTGCTACGCCATCCTCCGGCAGTCTCCGCTAGACTACAGTCACAATGGTATGAAACCGCCCCAGGCCCCAGGGCATTGGGCTTCCTGGCCACGACACACCCAGCTGACGAAGCCAGGTGGTCCTCGCAGCTTCAATATGCACAAGAGGCGGCAAGGCCGTCCTCTCGCGCCAATTTCGCGAAATGCAGCGCTCCCGTATCGAGGCTCTCCTCGCTTCCTTTCCCAAGCTCGCCGACAGCGGAACCCAGCATACCACCTGCGAACAGGACAACGTGCGCTACGTCTACCAGCCCCTCGACGAACTATACATGGTCTTGATCACCAACCTGCAATCCAACATCCTGCAAGACATCAACTCGCTGCACCTATTCGCCCAGGTCTGCTCCTCGATATGCAAGTCTCTGGACGAGCGCGAGATCCTCAAGAATGCCTTTGAGCTTCTGACGGCCTTTGACGAGATTGTCACGTTGGGTTATCGGGAGAACTTGACCATGAGCCAGATCAAGACTTTCTTGGACATGGAGTCGCACGAGGAGCGTATCCAAGAGATTATCGCACGGAATAAGGAGCTCGAGGCTTCAGAAGAGCGCAAACGTCGCGCCAAGCAGCTCGAGATGCAGCGCAAGGAAATGTCGAGGACGCAGCGAGCAGGTGGAGGCATGGGTGGCGGTATGGGGAGCATGGGTGGTATGGGCAGTCGCTCACCCTCGTATCCCGCTTTCACACCCAGCGTGCCAACAACCAACGTTACCGACACATACGACTCGTATGAAGCCGAGAAAAAGAAGGCTACAAGCAAGCCATTGGCTCTCGGCAAGAAGGGCATGCAGCTTGGCAAGAAGAACAAGACCAGTAACATGTACGAGCAAGTGACTGGCGAAGCCGCGCCAGCTGAAGAGGAACCTCTTGTTGCACCCAAGCCAAGTGCACACGCTGCTGCAGCCCCATCAAGCGCACGCCCATCTACCTCAACCGACCGCGAGGCCGTTCACATCACTACCAACGAGACCATCTCGGCCCGACTAGACCGCGAAGGTCTGCTCAAGTCGTTTGAAGTCAAGGGCGAGATGCAGCTCAAGATTACGGATCCTTCCTTCACACAGGTCAAGCTAGACCTGGCCACAGGAGATACTCGCGGCGCCCAGTTGATGACACATCCCAAGGTCGACAAGACCATATTCAAGAATAGCAAGGTGATTCAGCTTGCCGACACGAGCAAGGGCTTTCCCTCGAACATGGGTATTGGCGTCATGAAGTGGAAGCTGGCACCACGACCGGACGATGTCTCTGACCCGCCCATTACGTTCCGTGTGTGGGTCGAGGAGTCAGGCAACATGTACAACATCACGGTTGAGTATGAGCTCACTGGCGGCGACTCGCTGAAGGACGTGGCCATCACCATTCCCTACCAGACAGACGAGCCAAACGTTTCTTCCTTTGACGCCGTATACGAAGTCAGCGGCGACAGCATCGAGTGGAACATTGGAGCCGTGGACGAGGCAAACAGCTCTGGCAGCTTTGAATTCGAGGCCCAAGCCGGTAGTGACTCGGAGTTTTTCCCCATGAGCATTCGTTTTAGCAAGGCCACACCTTTTGTCGATGTCGATGTAGGTTTTTTCGGTTGTTATTCCTCCAAAACTCTTGTACTAACCAATACCTCAGGTCTCGTCCGTAACTCTGCTCTCCATGGGCCAAGACATCAACTTCTCCAAGGACGTCAAGTCTGTTGCTGAAAACTACATCATCTCATAGACGGCCTGAAAAGTTGACAACTGGTGAGGCCACAAGCGGAACCAAGTATTGGCTGTATGTAGCAAAGGAAAAAATACGGTGGGGTTGAAAAGCAGGGTGTGAAATTCCTTGTTATTCAAGGAATCGGAGAGGTAAGGTGTGAGAGTGAGAGAGGCCAGATAGACAATATACCTGGAATGATACGATTTGCGCTGAGAAAAAAAACTTAAATTACGTGTGTGGATCTATAATCAGAATTGATACCCCTCGTCCTTTGCGATAAAACAGAAAATCATTACGTGTGTGTGTGTGTGAGAGAGAGAGAGAGAAAGAAAGAGAGATGTGTGCTCAAAAGTCTCTATCATGGTATTGATTTCTAATTAATAACTAGCCCCACCACAAAGTGCGCGCGCGGCCTCACCAAAACTACCTTAAAAACGAGGCTATAGAGCCACACCAAATAGATATTATCACGATATATTTTGGTGGTGAGATCAATAGGCTTTAATATATATA